CTGTACTGCACATTCTCACTTTTTCGGACACAAAACCGTACCACGTGGCAATGTTCAGCAGGTGGGTCAAATACCCACATGTTTTCGAAGTGACCTGTCAAGAGGGACGAGGAGATGAGCGGTACAGTATGTAGGACGTACTAGTAGATGAGCGAGGATAACGTAGGCGAGCGGTGGAATAGTGCCGAACGTAAACCAGCCAACAAGTACATCCTATCCCTGTGTTTATCGACCTCGTCAAAGCGGCCATGTTTGTACGTCGGCACGACGCACACTACAGTGTACTAGTACCGTACAGCAAATGGGGATGGTGCAAGATCACAAACTGCACGCATTCATTGCACCTACTACTCCTGGAGTGCAGTACAGTACTGTACACAGGGTTGTTGATATGCGTAAACATTGCGAGGCGTACTGGTAGGTGCTCCAGAAGTGCTGCACAACAAACACAGCGGTAGTTCTGCTACTTGTACCGGTATTCCCCGAAGGATTTTCAGGGAAATTGTATTGGAAAATTCGTGTGGATAATTACTCTACCTAATGGGCTTTGGATAGGACTGTGAACGGCTGCTCTCAGGGTGTGGTCAGTGTACGGCGTGGAGGCGGCATTTGGATGCCAATTCACTGTCAAACTCGAAAACCTTTTACATACATATAATAATTTTTCCCACCATAAACTTTTACAAGATTATTGGCATGAGAGGTTCTCTTTTGTCCAATAATACAGCTCGAACGATTTAATTGGATGAAATAAATCGGCACATCACTGAACATTCGGCCCATCACTGGTCGATCACGTTAGTAAGAATTATTCGTATCAGACGACTTGATATTCGTTGTGTGGACAATGTATTAACGACCTGTGACATTGATTATTGACAATAATATATTGCACAAATATGTCATGTTCGTCGATGCAAGTGTAACGTTAGTGTACGCAACTAGCAAAGTAAACGTGTCGACGCCGAGCTGCGTCCCCCGCGATGGCAAACCGATCGACAGCAACCCACGAATGACGACGAGTGTTGGAGTTGAGGTTAGTACTTGCGTTCCACGCGTTCAGATGAACACAGTCGTGAGGGGGGGCGGCCGCTGCCTGCAGTCGAGGGGCGTCGCTGACGTTCTTGCCGGGGTCGACTGGGCATTTGTACTGGCGTTCCATGTTGCCATGTGTACCAATGGCGCTAGAAACTGGACGCTTGTACTGGCGTCCCCCGCTGCCTTGTGTTCAGACGGCACCACGTTGAGGCGTGTGAGTTGCAGGTCCCGGGCATGAGGACACGCTCACGTTTTGTTTGCTCTTGGGGCCCCGAAGGGGTCGCTCGCTTCTTGGAGTGTACATTTGTGCTGTGGTTCTAGGACACGCAGTCGCCGGCTGCACTCACTCGACGACGGCGGAGAAGCGCGCCAAGAGACGCTTGGCGTACGTTTGGTCGGATAGGAAGTAATCTTTTTACTTGCGAAGTAATAAAGAGCATCGTCGCAGGCCAACAACATGCCTCCAAGTCATATCTGAGTGCTCGACCGAGGTCAACATTCTATGCGATGATGTATTTCTATGGGTTGTAGTAAGTAAATTCAATATCGACGACGCTTTGAATGGAGACAGAACATCGACACATCAGAGCCCTCCATTACTGTACGCGCTGACTTCTGCCACCGCTTACTTTCTGCATAACTCACATCATCTTCATGTACCGATGTGTAGGTCTTTCGCGCGTCCGTGGGCTCGTCACGCCGAAGTGCTCGCACGCAGAAATACTACCCGGGTTAGTACTACTACTGAAAGTACTACGTAGTCACAACACAATTCCTTGTTTACTTCGTAGATTTATACATGGTCGCATACCAAGAATTTCGACCTCCCACATATACCCTTGGCAAGTTGGCCTGCGATGATGCTCTGGCTTCATTCAATACATCGTCGCTATTTCCTACTTCGTATTACAGTATTAATAGTAATACTTACACATAATTAATACTAGTAAGTACTAGTAGACATAATTAATACTAGTAAGTACTAGTATTAATTATGTCAACCAAAGAAATAACGTTACACTGTCGTACTAGTATATAATTTCGACCTGTGAAGTGGTTCACAATTCAATTGCGGGTGACATGTCTAAAGCACGAAGAGGTGTGCAAAGTTCTGACCACTGGAACTTGTTATGTACTTCGAAGTACTCTAGAGTAATGCGTTAGTTAATCTTATAGCGCCAAGCCACAAGGCACGACGATCTAGCTGAGACGGACGTCTTGCGCAAGTTTGGTGCTTCAGGGCCGTGACGAGGATGGGCGAAATGACTTTCGGTATCAATAACTAAACCCAGGAGATCCTTTGGGTGGTTGGTCTATTCAAGGATTGGTGGTGGGTAGCCAATACAGCTCCCATAGTGACGTGGCGCATGGTGTGAGCGTCGGCGACTGCTCGCTGCGTGAACCCTTCGAATCGGTTGGCGCACAAATACAAGACCACGTCGCATCGGTTGTTCCGAGCTGCCCAATCGATGGCGTCGGTCGTGCATCCTTCACTTCGATTTGTGTGGAGGAACTGGACGATCTCTAGAAACCCATTCTTTGCGGCGCGGTCCATCGCGTATGTCGTACATCCTTCGCGTCGAGACGTGTGCAGGAATTGGACGACCTCTAAAAACCCATTTTCCGCCGCCATGTCCATGGCCGAGGTCGTACAACCCTCTTGACGATGGTCGTGCAAAAAGCGAACGATTTCCAAATGGCCATTGCCGGCCGCGCGGTCCATTGCAGCTGCCGTGCACGCCATCCCTGTGTCATGCAATATCCGAAGCACGGCAAAGTGCCCTGCGGTTGCCACGTCATCTATGAGTGTTTGGCTACAGCCTTCATTCCGATTCGCCAGCAAAAACCGAACGATTTGGTCGTGTCCTGCCTTTGCGGCTTCGTCCAACGCCGCCACGGTGCACCCTTCCCCGCGATGGATGTGCAAGAACGTCACAACACTCAAATGTCCGCATTTCGCTGCCATATCCATCGCCTTTGGCGTACAAAACACTTCTTCCGTGTGATGCAGGCGCTGGACGATGTCGAGGTGGCCTTGGGCGGCAGGGACGTCGAGCAAACAAAAGGGATGGCCGTTTGCGATCAAGAACTCCACCGCCGCGAGATGACCAAAAGTCGCCGCTTGCTCCATGAGTGTTGCGCGCTGGAAGTAAGTGCAGTGTTCAGGACAATACCGTCGAAGGACGTCGACCAAGCCAAGTCGAGAGGCATGTGCCAACAAAACACTGCGCAAGCGTGGAACGCACACAAGGAGTCTGTCCACACCATGCAGGCCATGCTGGACAAAGAAGGGAGAGAACACGACGTCAAAAGCAGTCAACTCGACGTCCAGGTTGCCGTCGGAAGGCACAGCACCGTGGCAGCCGATGCTCGAACTGTGGAACGGAAATAGGTCAAAGTTGTTGGCATATATGTGAGGAAGAAGCGGTCGGACTTCAAAGTAGACTCCGTCTTGGAACTGAACGACCAGCGGCAGCAGTTGCTTGGATGCCACTACCGGTACCGCCACGCTCATGTATCACCGAAAAAAAACGAACTGTCGCTGTAAAATATCCTGTCAATCTTGATAAATATATTTCAATTATCAAACGATCTACAAAAATCCGAAACGAAATAAAGTCTTATTCGTCCGAATAGAATAATTTGACCAAAACCTGCTAACTAACTGTAAGATAGGCGAAACGATGTGCCCACTGATCGGTGCTTGCTGTTAAGGGACGTGAAGGTTCCCCCACCTTGAGAGACATACGATCAACATTTTCACCCACAGAGACGTCCATGGGATGTCCGCATCTGACAGTGCTGCATTCTCCTTCCCATGTCATCGCAACCCCCTGCCATCATCGATCGGCAACCCTGGCTCCATCGCGTCTTGTTGCTATGGCTCGACCCTCTCTTTCGCCTCGGGGCTACTCGACCTCTCGTGGACAGCGACATCTGGCACCTGGGTGCCCAAGATACTGCAGTGCGACTAAGCCGCCGGTTCGCTCGCCACTGGGGCACGGCACACGACCGCCGTCCGTCGTCCCTCGTCCGAGACATCTGCCGCACGTTTGCCCGTGAAATGACCGTCGTGACAACGTTATCTGTGGCCTACTCCCTTCTGGTGCAATATCAACCCCCGTTGATTCACTTGCTTATGACTGTGGTCACTCGTTCGGATGACACCATCGACGATACCTCTGGGTATTGGTACGCGGCGTTGTTGGCCGTGGTGTCGTTGGTGTCGGTGACGATCTTGGACTCGTCCTTTTTCGTCACGGCCCAGCTCGCGACTAACGTCAAGACAGTCGTGATGGACTTGGTACTGTCTCAGTCGTTGCACTGTCCTGACGCGGCCACGTCATCGGGTGACGTGATCACGATGGTCGCGGTGGATTCCACGCGTCTGTTTGTCGGTTTCGTCGCCCTCCCGTGGCTTGTGGTGCCCGTGGTGACCCTACCCCTCTTGTACACCGCCATCGGGTCCATGATGGGGTGGCAAGTAGGGGTCGCGGGGGGGCTCACGCTGCTCGTGGTCATGGCTGGTGGCTACTACTTTGCCCATGCCGCCGGCAACCTCCGCCATGACCTCATGGCAGCCCAAGCGGCTCGTGTGAAAGCCACCGATGAGCTCCTCGCTGGCATTCGCGTGGTGAAAATGTACGGGTGGGAAGCCAGCCTCGAGAACCGAGTGACAAGTCTACGGGATGCGGAGCTCGCGTTGCAGCACACGTACCAGTTTGGCAGCGAACTGAACGCGATCGGACTGCTGGTGGCCCCCACGCTGTCGCTCATGGCGTGCGTCGTCGTGTATGTCGTTGGTCTGGGGCATGCCTTGACGCCGACGGTCGCGTTTACTGCCATGGCGTACGTTAACATTGCCAGATTGCCGTGCAATTTGTTTGCGTTTGCCGTGATGCGCGTCACGGAGGCGGTGACGTCTGCCCATCGCATTGAAGCGTTCATTCGATCGTCACCTGCCACGATACCGTCGGCAGCTAGTACTACTAGTACATCTAGTACTACTAGCATTGCTGACGACGACATGGTTGCCGAGGCCGTGGTGGACATGCACGAGGCATCGTTCGCATCGACCAATCAACCAAGGGTGGACCCATTAACCCCCCCCCCATCGTCGTCGCGTTCAGCTTGCATCCTCCATCAGCTGAACTTGACCATTCTGCAGCACCAATTGACCATGATTGTGGGGCCAGTGGGCAGTGGCAAGTCGAGTGTTCTCAAAGCGATTTTGGGGGAGCTAGAGCTTGTGGCTGGTCACATGGAGGCGACTACTACTCGCGTGGCGTACGCGAGCCAAGAGCCGTGGCTACAACAGACCACCATTCGAAGCAACATCACGTTTCAATCCGACAATGCAAACATATCGGACCACTACGCGACCGTTCTGTCTGCGTGTCAGTTGCTGCCCGACTTGGCCTCGTTTCCCCAAGGCGACTGCACTGTGCTGGGGGACCGAGGGGTGAATCTCAGCGGCGGTCAAAGAGCTCGGGTGGCCCTCGCGCGAGCCATGTACCGCCAAGATGCCGACCTGGTGCTCCTGGACGATCCACTGAGTGCGCTCGACAGCCACGTGGCAAAGACAGTGTTTGAACAAGGTATTCGGGGGGTGTTAGCCGAGAAATCGGTTATCCTTGTGCTCAACAGTCACTACCACTTGTTGCCGTTTGCAGACACTATTGTTGTGATGGAGGGCGGTCGAGTTGTGCGACAAGGGTCGTTTGCGACGATGCAGCAGCACTTGACATCGTTAAGCTATCCACAAACGTCCAAGACTTGTCCGCCACCAACGACCCTGGCGGACCAACTTCGTCCACTAGCTTCCCCCAACCCTACGTCAACGTCGTCGCCTGTACGAACGGCCAATCCATTGAAAACTCGACCACCCGTAGACGAATCATCACCGTTGTTGGTGGTCGCGCCAACCAGTGACGTGGCTCTGGATACATACGTGGCATACTTTGACGCGAGTGGGTGGCACGGCATCTCCGTCATGGCGGGGGTCGGCGGCATGTACTTGCTGTCCCAAGGCGTGGTGGTGGCTGCCGATGCGGCTTTGACATCCGTCACCACCTTTTGTCTCTATGTGGCTCTGGCAGTAGCCGCCATGCTCTTACTGTTCACGCGGGGCATCTGTGCGCTGCTGTTGAACCTGGCATGTGCCAAGACGCTGCACCGCCAGCTCCTGCACGCGGTCGTGTCGGCACCCGTGCCGACCTTCTTCGATGTGACCCCTCTTGGCCGCATCCTCCATCGGTTTACGAGCGACCTCTTCGACGTCGACAGCCGCATGCCGACGTCCGCCGTGTACCTGCTGCAGTGTCAGTTCCAAGTGCTGGGCATTGCAGTCGTGTGTGGCGCCGCGTTGCCCTGCTCCATCGTCTTCTGTGCCCCGCTGACCCTACTCGTGACTCGCATATACACCCGGTTCAGCCACACGTCGCCAGCTCTGACCCGCCTCGCAGCTGCCCATCGAGCGCCATTTGTAGCGTTCGCGACGGAAACCCTCCGCGGCCTCTCGACCATTCGAGCGTTCGACCAGACTGAGCACTTTGAAACGAATGGACGGCGGCTGCTTGACAAGGCGCAAAGCTACCTCCTCGTGCAATTCCTAGCATCCCGATGGCTGCAAATGCGAATGGACGGACTGTCGGCAGGCATGGTAGCCGCCGTCGCGTTCTGTTGTGTCTGGTCGCGGGCGACCGTGGGCGTCGTCGGCGCCGGGTTGGCCTTGACGTATGTCACGCAGCTGTCTGGCTTCCTCTCCCGAGCTGTCATGGGCCACGCCGAAGTGGCCGAGCACATGACGTCTGTGGAACGGATGGTTGAGTACATTGGGATAAAGTCCGAGGGGGCAAAGTCCGAGGGGCCAGTGGGGGGGTCCCGCTCGACCACCGCCCTAGCTGAGTGGCCATCGCAGGGCGCGGTGACGTTTGCAAACTACTCGATGCGGTACCGCGCCGGGTTGGAGCTGTCGTTGAAACACGTGAGCTTGAGCGTCCGGGGGGGGGAGAAGGTTGGCATCTGCGGGCGGACGGGGGGCGGCAAGTCGTCGCTCCTGGCGGCGCTCTTCCGGACGGTGGAAGCAGCTAGTGGACGCATCATGATTGACGGCGTGGACATTGCGACTGTCGACTTGGCGACCCTTCGGTCGAGACTGACCATTATTCCGCAGGACCCGGTGGTGTTCAGCGGGTCGGTGCGGTTCAACTTGGACCCAACTCTGACGACAGACGACGCCGAGTTGTGGCATGTGCTGCGCCAAGTGCACTTGGCCGACGTGGTCGGGCTCGACTATGACGTGGCAGAACACGGAGCAAACTTGTCTGGTGGCCAGAGGCAGTTGCTGTGCATTGCACGCGCGTTGCTCCGCAAGTCCAAGGTGGTCGTGCTGGACGAAGCCACGGCCAACATCGACGGCGACACGGACCGGCTCATCCAGGACACGCTGCGGGCCAACTTTCACCACGACAACGTCACCAAGCTCGTGATCGCCCACCGCGTCCACACGATTCTCGACAGCGACCGCATTTTGGTGCTCCAGGACGGGTCCGTCGTCGAGTTTGACACGCCCGTCGCCCTCCTCGCGATCGAAAACGGCGTGTTCAAAGCATTGGCAGCGCACGCTGGGGCGACATTGCCTTGAGTTCGTGTCCCTTCATGTAGTGAGATGATAGATACCCAATGCTATGATCGTCGTCATAAGTACTACTCCGGAGTATCGCTTAGTAGTACTAATACTACCAGTGATGCTGTCGTTCTTGTTCTTCCCCTCGCCACTGGCAGATCAGGTGGTCACATTGCAAGTAGTACGAATGTAGTTAGTGTAAACGTACTAGTATAACGTTAGTGTAGACTTTGACGTCGGATCGAGTTTGCTTTTGCTAACGGTAGCTCTACGTGTAGTCGTTGTGTGCTCTGTGGGAACTAGACTTGATATGTATTGTGGATATTTGGTAGTACGAATTTCCAGACCCCCGTCGAATGGAATATCTGGCCGCCGCCGAATCACGAATCATCGACGCTATTGGCTAATCGAATTTTGAGTGGATTTGATTGGCTCTTATAGTGTATTCAACCAATCAGAGCTGCTCCAGCGTGATTCAATATTGATATGCCAAACTGCGCGAAGTTTGGAAGTTTACCGCGAATTCACAATATGACACTCAGATTACGCCAAAAACAACTTGTACACGGGGTTGTGTCGTTCGTCAAACCAGTCGTAGCCCACTCCGTCCAAGAACGCTTGGAACGCGTGGTCGTCTTCAGGGGGCACTTGCATGCCCACGAGGACGCGGCCATAGTCGGCGCCGTGATTTCGATAATGAAACACGCTGATGTTCCAGTTCTTGGTGCCCATGCACTCAAGAAAGAAGAGCAACGCGCCAGGTCGTTCGGGAAACACGAACCGGTACAGCTTTTCGTTGAGCGTCGTGGTAGAGGGGGGGGCGTGGCCCCCCACCATGTGTCGAATGTGCCCTTTGGCGAGTTCGTTGTCGGTCAAGTCGGTGGTGGCAAACCCAGCCAAATTCAGTCGCGTAACCAGCCCATGGACGTCCCCCCGACTCTGAACCTGCAGCCCCACAAATATATGCGCGTGATAGGCATCGCTGAACCGGTAATTGAACTCTGTGATCGCTCGGTGCTCGAGAAAGTCTTGGCAGAAGCGCTTCAAACTCCCCGGCACTTCGGGGATCCGCACGGCCAAAATAGCTTCGCGCGCTTCGCCCAGCTCGGCGCGCTCCGAGATGTGTCGCAGCCGGTCAAAGTTCATGTTGGCGCCGCTAGCAATCGCCACTAGCCGCTTGCCCGTGACGCCTTCACGCGCGCTCCAAGCCTTGAGTCCGGCCAGCGACAGCGCGCCCGCCGCCTCGAGGATGCTCCGCGTGGCCTCAAACACGTCCTTGATGGCGGCGCACATGGCGTCCGTGTCCACGAGGATTACTTCGTCCAGCAGGTCGCGACAGAGGCGGAACGTTTCTTGGCCCACTTGCTTGACGGCGACCCCGTCCGCGAACAGCCCCACCGTAGGAAGCACGACGCGGTGCCCCGCCGCGATTGAATCATGCATCGTTGCCGCGTCCACAGGCTCGACGCCGATGATCTTGACGTGCGGTCGAAGGCGCTTGACGTACGCCGCGACGCCTGCCGCCAACCCGCCGCCGCCCACCGGCACGAAGATCACGTTCAGGTCGTGACATTGACGGAGCAACTCCATGCCAATCGTGCCTTGACCCGCGATCACGTTCGGGTCGTCATATGGATGGACAAACGTGCCGCCCGTGGCTGCGACCACCGACATCGAGTGCTCGTACGCGTCCGAGTATGAGTCGCCGTGCAAAATGACGACGCCACCGTTGCGCTCGACAGCACTGATTTTGATCTGCGGTGTCGTCGCTGGCATCACGATTGTCGCGACGCACCCGAGCTTCTTGGCCGCGAGAGCCACGCCCTGAGCATGGTTTCCTGCGGAAGCTGCGACCACGCCCTTGGCGCGCTGCTCAGGCGTCAGCTGCACCATGCAGTTGTACGCGCCGCGCAGCTTGAAACTAAACACTGGTTGGGTGTCCTCGCGCTTGAGCAGCACGGTGTTGCCTGTCCGCGCAGACAGCGCTGGCATGACGTCCAGGGAGGTCTCCACGGCAACGTCGTACACGCGGGCCATGAGAATGCGCTCCAAGTAGTTGTCGATCGCTGGTTGCGCCATGGATGCGAGGAATTCCGATGGACGCAACGTGGAAAGGAATGTGAAACCGTCACGAATTTGAATGATTGGAACGATATCCGGATGTCCTTTATCCGGAATTCACGCAACGTTTGCGCAACCAGACCATTTTCGCATTTTCGCGTGGACGGACGCTGATCCTGGGAGCCCATCGCGCTTGCCATCTGCATCTCCATGCGGCACCACATTCTTGTCGCACACATATCCTACCGGTAGCATGTATGGCTAATGCCAACCACCCACCCACGAACAACATGCATGTTGCATACCAAGTCCTCCGTACTCCCTAGCAAATTCCCTTGCACCTATCGCCGATTCCTACGACGAACTGACCATGCCTTGATCACTTCCTCGTCATGTTGGTTTCTATGATTTGTACAGCGTCATTCTTGTCGTGTTACATCGTACAATCGATTCTATCGTTGGCGCCGGTGGCCACGAGAAAAGCTTGCCACACGACCGGGAACAAGTCGACGCAGTCGTGCTGGACCGTCTTCTTGGCGGTGTCGCTGTCGCCGCAGTTCGCGAGCCGCACCGTGGCAACGTACGTGATAAACGCCTTGCCGAGCTCACAGTACTTGGCGGTGCTCGCGTCCGACAGCTGGAGGAAGCGCTTGATGGCGTTGAACCGTTTCTCCACGCTCTGGTGCGAGTCTCGTAGCGCTTCGCCGACCGCTACCTTCTTCTTACCGAGCACGTTGGTCAGAAACGACTTGGCCTTTTCTCGGATGGCTCGCAAACTGACATACCATGCCGTCTTGTACTTTTGCAGTCCGATGACGTTGCCGCGGCCGTTCACGTACAAGTTCACTTTGCCTTCGGTTTGGTACGCGCATTTGATGGCCGTGAGCACAGCCTTGAACTCAAGCCCGGTGTACGGCACGACTTGGAACGCGACGGTGCGGACCCCGCAGGCGGTCGAAATCGCAAACCCTAGCAGCGGATTCACGCAGATCTGGGGAAGCATCATCTCCATGGTCGGGAGCGAGAACCCAAACAACACGGGGGTGTCATGCGGTACGTCCAATAGCTCGACGTGCTGGTGCCCGGGGCAAAGCAGCTCAAAGGATGCCGTGAGCCGCGTTTGCCATAGGAATTCCTCAAACAGCAAGCGCTTCGCAGGCTCGAGCGCGTCGAGCATCCGCATGAATCCGTACGCGACGGCCTTGGCGCCGGCAAACGGGTTCGTCCCGGGGATCGTCACCCCCACCGCGCAGGCCGGCTCGATGTCCCGCGCGCTCTGGATCACCATATGCACGTTCTTGGAGCCCACGACGTACACGAACGATCCGTTTTGGAGCTTGAGGACGGCCAGGTGCGCCGCCTCGCCGTTTTCTTTGGTCGTGGAAATGACAGACTGCGTTTCTGAGGCGGGTTCGGTGAAGTACTTGGACAGCGCTTCGCTCGTGATGGCGGACGTCGAGTCACTGTCGTGTTCGCCCGCAAGCAATTCGCCGTCGTCTTCGTGACCTGTGAATTTCGGGTACGCCCGCAACATGGGAAAGTACAACACACGGTCGTCGGCCACTTGCCACTGAGCGATGTAGTTGCCCCGCGGCAGGTACTTGCGAGCATAAGGACTCGCGTTGTAGATGGCGTCGTCTGGTCGTCCACGCGCATGCACGCGGATGTCGATGCCGATGACGTTGGGGAGAAAGTCCAGCGTCGGTCGCGGCGTTGCCATCGTTTCCTTGTCTTTCTTGGCCTTCTCAAAGTGTTCTTGCCAGATCGTGGACTGCCGAGATACCATGTCCTCAAAGGACACGGGTCGGCCGTCAGTGCTACCGTGGGTTTGTACCATGAATGCTCGAATCTGTTCCAGCCTAACGACATTGTGAGATTGGAGGAGATGGAAAGAGGATGGAGGTACCCATTGAGGTAATGCACATGGTGCTCTGAAGGTGCGTCCGTCAAGATCCTCTCGATCAGCCCTGTGAGCTGAGGCGACAGGGTCGCATGTGGCGGTGCAAACGTCATGAGCTTTCAATATGAAAAATGCCCAACCTATGATTGCCAAAGTTCGCGTTAAACGAAATCTACGGCGTTTTATGCTTTAACGTGGTTTACCACCACTCACGGTGTTGCCTTTCCTGAATGAGGGTCTTTTGAGAGCACTATAATACATTTAATACTTCAATAATAGTACTATTAATAGTATAGTTCTTGGGTTGGCTCTCAAAAGTATAAAGTCCAGAGGGTATGGACGATGTACAATGGCCTGGGCATGCGGTGGCAGGTTGTCGCTGCGACTCGTCACATGCGTTGGTCATCAAGGGCAACGCTTGACTAGTTTTCACGCATTTCAAATGACACCCTAACAGTATTTGAATACTACTAGGTAGCAGTATTTGAATACTACTAGGTAGCAGTATTGAATAGTATTTGAATACTACTACCTAGTACTGTTAGGGTGTCATTTGAAATGCGTGAAAACTAGTCAAGCGTTGCCCTTGATATACTACACTTACTGATACTACTGTATCATATGTTTACTACGTATTAATAGTATTTGAATACTATTAATAGTAATTCATGTACTTCGAAGTACTAGTACTTATTACAAGTTGAACTTTCAAAAGTGCACTATAATCACGTTGATTCATGAATAAAAATCCATCCTAAAGTATATGACTACGGCAAAGTCGCCCCAGCGTGTGCTGCCAATGCTTTGAACACGCCGTTTTCGATCGCGAGGAGGGCGACGGGCGTGTCAAACTCGACGACGGACCCGTCCTGGAGCACCAAAATGCGGTCGCTGTCGAGAATCGTGTGGACGCGGTGGGCGATCACGAGCTTGGTGACGTTGTCGTGGTGAAAGTTGGCCCGCAGCGTGTCCTGGATGAGCCGGTCCGTGTCGCCGTCGATGTTGGCCGTGGCTTCGTCCAGCACGACCACCTTGGACTTGCGGAGCAACGCGCGTGCAATGCACAGCAACTGCCTCTGGCCACCAGACAAGTTGGCTCCGTGTTCTGCCACGTCATAGTCGAGCCCGACCACGTCGGCCAAGTGCACTTGGCGCAGCACATGCCACAACTCGGCGTCGTCTGTCGTCAGAGTTGGGTCCAAGTTGAACCGCACCGACCCGCTGAACACCACCGGGTCCTGCGGAATAATGGTCAGTCTCGACCGAAGGGTCGCCAAGTCGACAGTCGCAATGTCCACGCCGTCAATCATGATGCGTCCACTAGCTGCTTCCACCGTCCGGAAGAGCGCCGCCAGGAGCGACGACTTGCCGCCCCCCGTCCGCCCGCAGATGCCAACCTTCTCCCCCCCCCGGACGCTCAAGCTCACGTGTTGCAACGACAGCTCCAACCCGGCGCGGTACCGCATCGAGTAGTTTGCAAACGTCACCGCGCCCTGCGATGGCCAGTCAGCCAGGGCAGTTTCATGCCCTGGACACGGCTGAATGGTTGAAGAAGGTAACGACTGGGTGATGACTCCTTCTTTCTCCAAGTCGTTGTAATGTTCTAATCGTTCCGCACTCGTCATGACGTTCTCCATGTACGTGTACTCCATCGTAGTGCGGGACAAGACAATCGTGAGTTGAATAGCATACGTTAGCGCCAAGCCCGCGGCGGTGACGCCGCCCATCGAGTGTTTGGTCGCGACTGCCAGGAACGCCACGCCCCCCACGACCCCCACAGACACCCAGTCGAGGCGCATCTGGAACCACTTGGTCGAAATGAAATGCGTGAGATCGAACCGCTGGTTGCAGTCGATGGCCGCGCGTGCCTTGGACTGGAAAGCATCCTCGGCATGGAACGCCCGGATGGTGGTGCCGCCACCGTTGCCCGAGGTCTCGGTGAGTAGATTGAGCACCGGGGACCGCGACGTTGCGTCCAGACGCTTGAGCTGGGTTGACGTGAGGCTGTAGATGAACCGGAGTTTGCTAAACACATACCCGAGGGGTATGTACAGCAGCAAAATGTACGGTGACGTGGCAGCACACACGACGAGCGACGCAACGATTTGAAACACCAGCCCTAAGATGTGAAGCCCGAGCATCGGCACCATGTTGTCGACGGTGGAGAGATCCGCCGAGAACCGGTTGAGGATGCGGCCGACGGGGGTGACGTCAAAGAACGAAGGGACGGGGGCGTGCAGGACGTTGTGGAGGATCGCTGCGTGGAGGTGCTTGGAGCAGAGCAGGATAAAGTGCAGCACGTACAGACTGCGCCCGAGCACAAGGCCTAGCGCGAGCACCGATAGGGCAACGTAGATACCAGCGTACGTGGTATTATTGTTGGAAGGAACCGTGGTCAAAAAAGGCGAAGATGATGCCCAGAAGCCCACAAACCAGTCCATGAGTACCAAGCATGCTTGGGCGAGGACAAAAACGACGAGCACACTCATCGCCACCCCCAAGCCATTCCACCCCGACGCTTGAAAGTACGTCAAGTACGTTTGACTGGTGACGTGGCCGACCTTGCGCTCTTCGGCCACGACCAACGACGTTGATGCTACTGCTATTGTTGCTGTGGATTCTGCTGTAGCACTGGACGGTGTCATCGAATCGGTCGACACGGAAGCGGCGCTCGACAATGGACTGGAGAAGAGGTGGGGAAAAGCCGTCGATGCCAGCGACTCGAGCGATCCATCTCCAACGATCGCGCCGTTGTCCATGACTAGCACGCGGTCGGCAAAGGGAAGGAGGTGGTAGTGGCTATTGACTACGAGGACGACGGGGCGGGTTCGGCTAAGGAGGTTCCGGATGCACTCGTGGAAGACGGTGGTGGCGACGGCGGCGTCGAGAGCGCTGAGGGGGTCGTCCAGCAGGTACAAGTCCGCGTCTTTGTAGGCGGCTCGCGCCAGCCCCACGCGGGCCTTCTGGCCGCCGCTCAGCGTGACCCCCCGCGCGCCGATTTCGGTCGAATCGCCCCCTGCCAACGACGTTAGATCAGCCTCGAGGTGGCACGCCGACATCACGCGGTTGTACCGGGGGGTGTTGTCGACTTGGTCGGTAAACACAATGTTGTCGCGAATGGTGGAGTTTTGAAGCCATGGGTCTTGGCTGCAGTAGCCCACGCTACGGGCCGTGACGTGGCAGCCCCCCGACGCGAGATGGAGATCGCCCAACATGGCACTGAGCAGCGACGACTTGCCGCTGCCAACATACCCCACCACGATCGTCAAGGATGGCATCGAGTCTACTACGATGTTGATGTGCTTCAACGCATGCTCGGGGGAGTTGTCCACAGCTTCGGCCGATGGTTTTTTCCATTGAAACGACGCCGACTGCATGTGGATGAGGGGGGGGGTGGAGGGGGGTTTTGACGACATATTATTTGGGGCAGGACAGGGTGAGGGAGCTGACGATGCAGGCGTGTCGGTTGAAATGGTGGTGGTCGAGGACGAAGCCAAGAAGGCATCGATGCGGTGACTTGAATGAAGCGCGTCAAACAAGTTCATGATGGAAAACGAAAATGAACTGCATGGCGTTCGGGCGGCATTCACATATGCCAGCGTGATGAACGCAAGCGGAGGGGTGAGTCGAGAACCCTGGGCGACGTACACAACAAGACACAGCGCGAGCGACAGCACTGGCGCCACTAGAAGCGCAATGGACGATACTTGGCGGCGGTAATGGTACGCCTTGAGCAACGATAGCTCTTGACCCCGCATAGCTTCAACATGCGCCTGCAACGATGCCTCCCAGCCGTACATTTTCACGGCGCGTACGCCCTGCAGCAGCTCGTTCGTGAACTTGACGCGCTCGCCTTGCACGACCAGGATGTCCTTTTGAATGGCCCCCACCGCCCGGCCTTCCAGCACGCCAAACGCCATGAGCGCGACCATGACCGCTGCCCCTGCAATAGCTGGCCACGCCCCCAAGTCGAACCCAATCATGACAAAGATGACCAGCACCATCACTGGCGACAGAAACGTCCACATGAACCAGAGCCCACACATGAACAGCCGCGTGGAATCCACCGACGCCAGCGTGACCAAGTCCCCAGACGAAGTACATGACTGGTGTCCCGAGAGTGAGTGGAGGAAGACCAAGTCCATCACGATGGCCTTGGCGTTGCAGCCCAGCCTCCCCGCGAAGACCATGCCGAGATCCATGATGGTCACTGACCCAAACGATAGCAGCGTCAAGAGCGCAGCCAGGACGTATCCGCTGGATATCCCGAGGTCAGTCACCGCTGTCGCCGACTCGGTCGTGAGAAACTGGAGCAACGACTTGATCACGACGGGTTGCAGTAGAATGAGCACGCTGCTGGCCGTGTACAGCGCCAATACGACGCCAATGTCGCGGCGGAACGTTCGCAGCAACGCGCGGAAAAACGACGGCGACGATGTCGTTTGTTTGGCAGTTGTCCACGCCCCTTGGAACCGCGCTTGGAGAACGGCAGCAGTATCTGGAGGCGCCAGGTGCCACACATCGTCTTCCGTGAGTGCGTCCTTGGCCCCTTTGAGCACAAGGGGGTCGAACCACAAGAGCAGTGCGCGGCTAAACCAATTGGCATTCACGATCGGGTGCGGGCGCTGGCTCCACTGCATGGGAAGTTCATTCAAAGCCGGGGATGCCAGCGCCTGGAAGGTGGACCCACTCGCGGCCGAGGTGACGTCCTTGGTAGTTCCCATACGTCGCACACAGAGTAGATGTGAAAGTGACCAGATCTTTCGTGGGCACCAGCATTTCGTACGAAGTTGTACGCTACTGGTACATCTCGTAATTTTGGACAAAGTTCAATGTCGAATCTGAGCCGGTTCCATGTCATATTTTTCAGGTGTCGTCAAAATAGTCGATTTGAAAATAGGACAATCGTATCGTGGTGATTTTAATAAATTGGACGGGACTTACTGATTTCAAAACAACATATAATTATTTATTTTATTGTATTGGAAGGATACTTCCGATTGTCCTAGTTTCGACAGGGATATGAAACTCAAACTTGAAGCCCCCTCACTTTGGGTTTGCCCCTCTGCACCAACTACTACCAAAGCTGTAACTCTTCAGCACCAACTACTGCCAAAGTTGCAATTCATCGTCTAACGCAAGGATAGGAAGGGCTCATTGCATCCTTCTTGAGCATGGTTGAATGGTTGTTGGCACGTGAGGTCAAAATCTATAAATAGCTACCGCCATATGGTTCACAATGGACTTACTAAACGATTTGGATGGCCAATCTCACTACCGGTACACGTTTTCGATGTGGCTGTGTGAAAGGTCGACTTTCGACAACCAAGCGTAGTGTCTGGCACGTGAGACTAAGAACTGTAAGTGCTCCGTTCGACGGGGGTAGGAGGGAAATTATGTACGTACATACTGCACTGGATACTGTAAACGTGCGATACCTTGGTCAACGTGTTCCACCTGGGGTTGCAAACCGCACCCGATAAATTCACGACGACCAAGGAGTTCATCGGGGGGGTGGTGCACGAGGTGTCGAAGCCAATTTGGACCTTTGGCGGGGATTTTGAGTGGCGCACGCGATTTGCGCTTCAAGGCTATCCCCCCCACAAATCCATCACTAACACATCATATACAGTAGCCCACAGCATGCACACTTGGTGCCTTTGCTACGATTCCACTCAAGTGCGTGGAAAGCTAACTCAGCCTTGTTCTGGTTGGACGCTGGATGCATTGCTTATCATCGTTCGACGGCCGTACATATGTCAGCTTGTAACCATGAAAAATTAAGAGACGGCGACTGCTACATGATGTACTTAATGGGCCGCCAAGGTACATTCTGGTGCAATAATATGTACACTACAACTGCAGGCCGTATCCTGTGAAAGATCAACGCCTTCCCATAACTCGTAGTTTCGTGGGATTTTGATGTCATATCCTTGTATCAGTGTGGGGGTGCGATGGGCGTGCTTGCAATATTGTGTCGTTCGAATGGAAACTACTGTACACCTGTACAAGTACAGTATTATTTCAATATAACATAGGGGCTAACGCATTCATATTAGTATCTCTTGGTACCGTTAACTGTAAAGAGTTGACCTTGTTTTCAGTGAAAGTTGAAGCTGACTCACAAGTCAAGATCGTCATGATAGACTAAGCGACAACTATTTTGACTGGAAACAATTAAACCAATGAGAGTCCAGCATAAGCTTATATTAAGTTTAACGGTGGGCTGTATTGAATTGTGACAATCTATATTTTCTCTGAGATCGCAATCAAGTTTAGATTTTGCTCGATCCTTCCCCCACGACGATGGAGCAAGAAGGCGATCATGTATAGAGACCTCACGATGCCGATGTCTTATGTATTCGCTAGGTGCTCCTGGAGCCATGGAACTACATCCGGGGTATGCCGCAGAAGAACGTACGTGCGATCTTGGTCGATGCGTTTCAACTGTGGCTGCAAATTCCCCCCGACAAAATCACCACCATCAAGGAGATCATCGGAAGCCTGCACGACGCGTCGTTGCTGATTGACGACATCGAAGACAATTCAGAGCTGCGCCGGGGACTACCAGTGGCGCACGCGATCTACGGGATCCCGTTGACGATCAACTGCGCCAACTTTGTGTTCTTTGTTGCGTTGCAGAAATGCCATTCGCTTCAAAACGCCCGCGCCATGGACGTGTACATCAACGAGATGATCCACTTGCATCGAGGTCAAGGCCAGGATATCCTTTGGCGCGACACGGCCTCGTGTCCGACCGAAGACGCGTACAAGGCCATGGTCATCAACAGTACGCCCGTCACCCCCACATCCTTGCATGTCCATTTTCATGTCGATCGTAGAAACGGGCGGCCTGTTTCGATTGGCGGTGGGGCTCATGCAAGCGTTCAGCACGAACGACCAAGACTTTGTGCCGCTCGTGAACCAACTGGGGCTGTACTTTCAGATCCGCGACGACTACATCAACCTCGTGGACAAGGCGTACATGGACGGCAAGAGCTTTTGCGAGGACTTGACCGAGGGCAAGTTCTCGTTCCCGCTCATTTTTGCCATCCACGCCGACACGGCGGACACGCGGCTCTTGAACATCGTCAAGCAGCGTACGACCAACGTCAAGATCAAGGAGCACGCCGTCGCGTACATGGCCCAAGTCGGCGCGTTCACACACACCAAGTCGTACCTAGACAACTTGTTCATGGACATTCTAGAGAAGATCACACTGCTCGGTACGATTGTGTGGGCGTCTACTCGTGCGTTTGTTTGCATGTGTGTTCGATAGTTGTGGCATTCACGGTTGTTGCTATACAGTATATATATATAGTGTGCATTTAGCCAAAATTTGGATATTTGTGCTGATTCATTGATTCCGTCGGTTTGTAACGTTAATTAACGGTATGTTACCTTGGCGACGCCATGCACACTATTTGAAGGCACACACTACTTTCATAATTGAAGAAGTTTGATTGGCCACTTGAAAGTGTGTTCTGGCTTTTGATTGGTTGGTCTATTGTCGTGGTGTCGATTCCCTCCAAAGTCGAATCGACTTGACATTATATCAATAGTGGCGACTCTGGTTTTGCATCCTTTTGGAGTATATTTCATGGTGGGGTTAATTCATAGTTGGTTGTAGGGGGAAATCAAGTGCTGTCTGGACTAGTGCAGACTCTTCACAGGACGCTCAAATGAAAGCTTGTGCTGCACACCGCGTTTTGCTCTATCGAGTCGATTCTTGTACACTTGGAGCAATCTAAACCACTACAGTAGTCGACTCTCTTTTGGTACATACTATTATACACACATCTACGCGACGCGGCCATAGCTCCCCCCTTGGGGTTGGACAGGTCGGGTGGCCGGGGACCCCCCCACGTCACTAAAGTCAGGGTCCCATCCGACATCCACGTGCGGGAACCGCTTGAGGATGCGGGCTTGGATGCGGCGGCCGCCCTGGGTGTTTTTCATGCTGGCGAGGTGGGGTCGGATGGCAGCGACCAAGTCGAGGCAATTGTCGTCGGACGCCACCGACAAGGCGCGCTGGACCACGTAGTTGGCGTACTGGTCCTGGAGCATGCGGTACATGCGGGGGGACGCGACGATTTCGCGCACAATCGTCTGCCGGAGGTCGTCGGGGGCCAGCTCGAGACACTTCTCCACAACGTTCGAGCTAAACTTTTGGATCGACAGGTCGAGCACGTGGCCCACACACTTGGCCATGACCCCCCGCGCGTCCGCCGCTGAGCACGCATCTAGCACGTACTGCACCACATAGTTGCCGTACGGGTCCTGCATGAGCTTCATTGCGTGGTGTTCGACTTGGGCGATCACGGCGCGGCGCTGGACGGGGTCGGCGGCGTCGACGCAGCGCTGCAGCACGCAGCACCCGTGGCGATGCGTGCCCACGACCGTGCAGTCGGCGGCCACAGCGTCAAACACAAACTGATTGGACGCCGGCGGCAGGAACTGCAGTGCCCGCTGGATCACGTGGTTCCCGTTCGAGTCAATGCAGAGGCGGACCGCGTCGTCTTTTAAAGCGCCGACAATCAGCGCCACCAGGCTAGACGACGACGATGCCGCGGCCAGTTCGACCACCTTTTGCACCGACCGTGTGCCGTGGAGGTTGAGCGCCGCCGCGACCAAGTGCGGCGCCACCTGCTGCACAATGCCCAGGCGCTGGTCGTCGTCGCCCCGGTCGAGCAGCTTTTGAAACAAATAGTTTCCAAACGGATCCACCTAGGTAGATAGATATATTAGGGGGAGTGTTGGTGGCAAAACTATACGAAGTAGTAGTAGTACCATCATGTCGACCAAATGAGGCAACGACTCGGTGTAAATGACGGCGCACACGTCCGCGGCACTTTTGCCTGGCTCAGAGTCTGTGCTGTCCAACTGCTCTTGCAGCAACCGACATCCATTTTGGTCTTTGCTCTACACAAGAGTGAACCGCCATAAAGCAAAACCACTATGATATCCACAACGGTACTACGAAAAAACACATATTGTGGTATATTCGGTACAAATTTCCAGACCCCATCGAATCACGAATCGACGCTATTGGCTATTGGCTAATCCAATTTTGATTGGCTCTTACAGAAAGGACAAGTATATTCAACCAATCAAAACTCCAGCATAATTGAATATTATTGATCAGACAAACCACGCGAATTTCGGAAGTTTAAAGCAAATTCATAATATATGGAGATATATACTTCGCATCTGTTTATGGGTTGCATATCCTACTACAAAGTAATAACAAAAAAATCACACCTAAACGACATACCCGGAATATATATATATATTATAATATACTACGCTAGTCCATATATAGAAAATTGATGTGGACTGGTAGCGACGATATGATTCCACAAAATCAAACTCCAACGCAACTTTAAACGACAGCATCCTCAGCATATATATATATATATATATATACCTGACAATAATAAAATTTACTTTTGGAGACGAAGCCACAAATTGCAAACAACAGTATCATGAACAAGCCATATTCCACTCATATTTACATATTTATTTACATATATATATCGCACAAAAGCAAAAAAATAGGCAGCAGGGAACGGTACCATGGCAAAGACGCGACCGCGGAGGGCGTCGATGGACACCGGAGTCGAGTCAAATCCAAACGGATGAAAGTCGCCGTCGTCAAAGCTCGAGGACGTCGACGGTTGGGCATGGATGGCGGCGGTGGTGGGGTTGGAATGGAGCAAGTGGCCGAATTTGCACTTGTTGCCCATACGACAATGACCCTGGGCAAAGAATTTGCACGGTTTCAACATGGACGGGTGGTGGTGGTGGTTGGTTGGTCTAGGGTGGTCTGGTGGCGCCGACAGGACAAACCGTCGAGACGATGTCGGGGCGGTGCGACCCCCGTACGCATGTGGCTGCCACAAGTGGTCTTGTCGCATGTCATGGGGCTGCCGGGGGTGTATGGCCCTCGCGGACGACGCCGGTCGAACGGGATGGCCATACATGCTGCCGTCATTGCCGTCGTCGCTCGAGTCGTGGCGGCTGGGGCGAGAGGAAGGATGATAGTGGTGGTGGTGCGTATGGTTGGAATACCATGACGGGTGGTGGTCGTCGTATTGGTTGCTGCGTCGGGACGAGTTGTAGTGAGGAGGTTGGGTCATGGATGGAGGAGGGTGGTGCAGTTGAGGGTGATCAAGGAGCTCGTGGCGCACGTCGGTTGAAGGGTCATGGGACGAGTCGAGGGTGAAGTCGGAGGGGTCGTCAAGGGCAAGTTTGAAGAAGTCACTGCCAAGGTGTTGACTGGGACTGCGAGATAGAAACATTTCGATGCTGTTCTTTCGACGGCGACTTGTAGGAAACGAACTGGTGGAGGCCGCCCCGCCATTTGTCGACGGAAAGGACGACGCATGGTCGTAGTACAGCATCGACGAGTCCTACATGTCGTCCAAGAAATCACAAGATGACCACATGTAGAGAGAGAGATGTAGTCGACGTACAACAGGAGTCTCGGGTTGGGACGACGTTGGCTGTGGATGGTGGGTTGGCGACGACGATGGAGCCCTACGAAAGAGGATGGTGACGAGGATGTTCGTTGTGCGTGGCATCGTTACCCGTCCAAGAAGTTGAGATCGTGGTAAAACAACGACGGCATGGTGGCGGATGTGCTAGTTCCCGATCGAGCGGTCACGAATGGTGCGTCTGTCCCTTCCTGCGTGTGGTGCTGGTTGGGGTGATGACGTCGCTGCTTGTCCATGGGTCGAACAAGGGGATGTCGTCTGTCTTCGTCACCCTCGTATAGATATTATGGTACAGGGATATGTAAGGCGGCGGCAACCGTGGATAATCACGGACACGTCGTCGGCAACTCCTTTCGTCGGTCGGCACTCGGTTCCTGTCAAAATCAAATGACTTTCTTTGGATTTCCATGACACGGTGACTGACTGTTATATCCTGTGAAAATCGATTGGTCAAAATCCATCCATTTGATGGGTATCGATCGCATTTGATTGGTCATAATCTATCATTGGAATGGATTTCTGGGTTTTGATTGCAATGGACCACCTCATGACTCCAGAACCATGGCAGACGAATGAAGGATTATAGCTCCTTTCAACAGGACACCAGTCTCATATGAGAGCTCATAACGATACGAACAAGGTCATATGGCTCGACCAATATGGGGGGACTGAAACTTCGAAATCATCCCAAATTTTAGCCAATGAACGCTCGCCATTTGATAGGCCACACTATAACAATAAAACGGCTTGATGGTTGTACGGTTGCAACAGGTGTATTTCTTGCTAAATCTACGTACAGTACATTGCAGCTTCAACCACCTAAATCTTTAACATTAAAGACTAATGTAGCCTTCTGAAGCTTCAGTCGCCATGCCTTCGAGGACGGACGCATTATGCTTCTTGGAACTGCCTAATGGACTATTACTGTATGTACTTGTGTGTGTGGGCTTATGCTTTGATGTGTAACTCCCGACGACTTTTGTAACTTCCTGGACTACCTGCTTTATCCGGTCGTTCTGCGAATCAACCGGATATTTGTAATTTGTCCCCAGGTATAAAAAACTGTCGGTTTCATTTGCGGATTGTATTCAGGAAGATAAAAATAGCGAGCCTGCTTGTGTGTAGCGGGGTATCCTCATGCTTCGAAATACGAATCCTCAGCGACCGGATTGGCCGTCATTCGAAGTTCGATGTCCTTGGCTCATAACAGCGGATTACTAACTGTCGGGCCAATTCGGCTACCGCACCCAAGTGCGACGGATTCTGCAAGTGGCATAGCTGACTCGCAGGTCACGGCTCATTGACACTCAGACAGGCGGACCTCTCCATTCTCTCTCCGCGGAAACGAGCGACCTCATGCAGACGCACATGGAATCGCTGCATCTCCCTCGCTTGGACCTAGGCATCTTCAAGAACAGCAGTCGGTACCTCGAGCGCGTGGGCAAGCCCACAACCCCGTTTCAACCGCCGGTGTGGGCGGCGCCGCACAAGCCACACGCGATCGCATTAGTCGACGTGTTCAAGGCCAACGAAGTCCTGACCAGCGTCAACGTTGACTCGAAGGCGTGCTTCCTCTTTGGACGCAATGCCCTCGTGTGCGATATCGTGTTAGAGCACTGCTCGATCTCGAGGTACTGTATGTATATCATACGCACGCACTGCAATCCATCTCACGAAAGTCTCGTCATACTCTAGAATGCACGCGGCGTTGGTGCATCACGTGGATGGCGCCGTGTACTTGATCGATTTGGGATCGTGTCATGGTACATTCCTTGACGGGGAGAAGCTCGAGCCGCTCCGACCGACCCTCCTCTCGCACGGCACCCATCTCCGGTACCTTTTTTCGTCTCGATGATTGCATACGATTCATCCTATGTGGACGTGTAGATTTGGCGTGTCGTCGCGAACATACCGATTCAAGTCGTACGAATCCCGCCAACAGATCGAACGACGCGTGCAGACAGCCGTGGGGCTCCTGCCAGACGAACGCGAACTGCACACAAACACGCTCTTGAATCGGTTCCTGTCATACCGGTTGGATGCGCCGTTCCACCACCAGTTGTCTTCGATGCCGACCAACCCATGGCCTCAAAGTACGTTCACATGCGATTCGAATTGGTCGAAAAAAGTCCAATCTTTTCACAAAACAATTACCGTTTTTGGCATATTTTCGACAAATTATTGTGAATGAAATGGCTGATCAGGCGCATGTATATAGATTCGAATCGCATTGCATCGCATTCCACCGACACGAACGAAGACGCACACGAAGAAGAAGACAGCGACATGCTGACTGCTTCTATGGCCGACGCAGGACGCGGCGGCGCATCGTCGTCATTGTCAGGAAACCCCCACGACGACGACATGGTCGTGTCCGAGTGCAATCCTTCGGTGCTAAACGAGTCGTCCCAACTCTCGACGGCGGCTCCACCGTCGTCAAGGAAGCGGACGCGTCCGTCCGCGGCAGTCCCACCGGATCATGTGTTTTTGACGTACGACAACAAGCGCGTGCATTTTGTCGAGTCGCCCCAGATCATCCACCATTACCCCCATCACGACGACGACGACGACGACGACGACGTCATGGACGTGATCATGGACAGCACCGTCGACGACGTGCAGCCCAGGTACGTTTCAACCCGTCTTGGCGGCTGGCTGGCAGGTGCTTGACAGGGGGTGATGTGTGTAGACGTGCGTCGTTTGACGGCAGCCCGTCGCCGAGCGGATCGTCGTCGTCGACGACGCCGCATTTCATATTTCACCACATGGCCGGCAGCGAAACTTCGCGGTGCAGGCCATCGATCGACCCATCGAGTAGAATACCAGGTGCCCGACGGCACACTCTAGGCTAACAGCACTTGAACCCAGCGGCAGGTTATATTTCAGTGGTGTACAGTAACGTAAAAGTCCAAGTTCAGAACAATGTTTCCGATTCGTCATATTGTACACTATGAGGCAAAGTCAAAATATCCACGCCTCCTGTATTCGGGAGTTATGAATTCGAAATCAGCCCTGTTATAATTCATGCGTATGCACTTATTATAATTAAACGAGCGGACCAATGTTAACTTTACTGTTAAGCAAGTAGCGTTAACTTACTTCGAAGTAGTAGTTATTTGCAAACCCATTTCCCATTAGCGTATTTTCGGGGCGGTTAGGTTAAAAACTGCCTTTGGAGGAAGAATTGATTGGCTGATACCGGTGCTCGTTCAAAATGGCCGAGCTCCTGTTAAATTGGACTTTTACCTCACATCCTGGTATAAACAATACGAGTTGTTATCGCACAAATACAACATTATTGACAGTAAGACTTAGTGAATTAAAACTTCGAAGCAAGACAGCGATGACACGGAGTGGGTTGACTCTTGGGAGTGGCTGCTTGCTGCACTGTACGTAAACCATTGACATGTGTACATTCCACCTGTTTGTTACGTGTAAAGTAGAATGGTGCATTCCGGTTAAACTTGCCAATTGTGAGTCATTGTGAAAATCGCCAACAAATAGCCGCGATGATTTCATTGGTTAGAATTTCGAAGATTTGGGCAGAAAATGGACATCCAACTCAGGTTTCCACAACTGCCTGGGCAGTACGACGAAGTGTAGTCGCACGTTGCGGTAGCGCGGGCGTCCAGTTGGTGTACTTGAGATGTTTGTGTGTATTGTACATAGGTATGCATGTGTGTTGGGGATGCGAAGAGACTCGCGTACGAGGCCTACGCGCTCATGTGTTAGAGCTGCAAGATTGGATCGTCGTCCATTGACTCAGGTCAGGAAACTGCGTCATAATAGGGTGATTAGTAACGATTGTTTTGTGAGAGAAATCCCACTTTTTGTCATTGGGGACATTTCGCGGACATTCGGATCGGGGCGATTTAACAACCGCCCATGGAAATTTGGAGTAGAACACACAACACGTTACAGCCTCGACAAATGTTTTTTACTACTTCGACGTAAGTATGTGAACCCTTAACCCTTAATAGAGCAGGAGTCATTACTTACTACCTATACTACCTGTAGAATATATGGTGGTACCACATTCGACTATGGAGTAGATGGGCTTACAGTACCGGAAGATGAGCATTGAAAGCTGACCTTGGGGAGGGCACTCGATTGACTATAAGTGGAGTCCATTTGCCTGTTTAGTTTGCCCCTGTGTCGAAGTACAGTTTGGGCTTAACGCGTTACTTGTAATAGAGATGTTTAATATCGGTATGTTCTGCTTGGTGGGCATACGATGTTTAGTTTTTACTTACTGTTAGCTTGTCGATTCCTACCACCTTTACTAGTTTGAATTGCCCTAACGTTATTTCATTGTTATCGTTTCCGTACTCATGGTGAATCTATCCAAGATATTGTGCCAAATCCGTGATTTGACACGATAAACAACGTGATTTTTGCATTATTCGTATACATTAAACGACGGGGGTTTCGTGCTGACGAGGTGGCCTACAGTCGGATTGGAGCTTACTAATGAAGCGTTACCATCCTACTCACTTGCAGCATCATTGTACAGATAATCTGGTTTCGGGGTTTCGGCCGCGAGGTCGACGAAAGACTTCACGTCATTATTCTCGTGCCGGGACAAAGTAGTGAGGTCCTTCGGGAGTATGTGAGGACATCGTGTTCAGAGCGACGTCCTTCTACCACAAATGGCATACTCATGAGACTCTAATGCGATTCAACTCGCCATCCCAGGCTGTCACCATGGATGCATGATCAAACAAAACACAAGCGCATCCGGTTATGACATAACATTACACTAGAAAACCCACCATTTATGCGGATACAGCAAATGGGGAATCCGCTGCAAAATTGGCAAATTTTACAGCGGATTTAATTATTTATAACAGGTTCAGTTCTATCCTAATCGAATTTGAGAGAATAGGTTGCGGATAAAATAGAACTGACGTTTGCGAAATCTGTCTAATATTGTGGAGGTTTTTATTTTATTGTGTCTATAGTTTACATCAGGACTGTAATCTTCGGTTTTTCCTTCGCTCAACGCTTCATACCTCGTCCTTCGACCGATCTTCTTCGAAGTTCGGTCCACGCGGCCCTTGTTATTCGGATTACCCAAATAATCGGGGAAGCCGGGGATCGCACCGTAGGCGTACGATTCTCGCCTTTGTATGCGATGGAAGTGTCATTTACCGAGGGACTCCAGCCAGCATCATTATTGAGTGATGATGATGGCCAAGAATAATAACCACGTTTGATTGGATAACGTTTTCTGGATAAAACCAATTTGCAGCGGACGATTTGCGAAATTCGCACTGCACAAGGTTGCAACCTATCTGGGTTCTAAATTTCAGGTTGCGGATAGAATAGAACTGGCGTTTGCGATGCGAAGTCGAAAAATCAATCTTCGCAAGTCTGGTGCACATACCAAAATATATGCAAATTTATACATCAAAGCCTCTATAAATTGATATTTCCAGAACGAAATGAATTTGGGTTTGCCCCAAAATGCTTTTACTAGTATCTGGAAGAAATGACGAGTTTATTTTCGTTTGCGAGATTTTTGGCAGTCATCCAATGAAGGAATAAACTCGGCAAAAGCCTTACCACGGAGGGTGTTCAAAGTTGTCTACAGTGAACGACTAATCAATATTGAATCATGCTGGAGTTTTGATTGGTTGAATATACTTGTCAAGAGCCAAATTAGCCAATAGCGTCGATTCGTGATTCGATGGGGTCTAGAAATCTGTACCGAATCCACAATACATGTAACGTTAGTTAACTTTTGCCGTTCAATACTTGGGGCCAATCGGAAGCTTGTCATCCTAGCAATTGATCCAATAAGATCGTTGAAAATGCCTACGAATAATTTGGTCGAAATGAATCATTTATTTTACAGCTTCAAAAACATGAACAATTTATTTATATACGGAACAATTGTAGATTATTTACTCAAGGGCTGGATTACAAAGAATAATTTATTTTATTTAAATTATTGAATAGTATTCTTTTTAGCTTATTTTTTGAAGGGCCTTGGCACACATCATAGAAACCATACAGTACCTCAAACACGTCGGCGTTGCTCCCTACGCAGTCGCCGACCAAGTCGGCAATCAACGCTTGGTTGCGCGGGTCGTCTTCGGGGATACCCTGCACGACCTTGCCCACGAAATCGGCGCCGACGTCGGCGGCCTTGGTGTAGATGCCCCCGCCCAATTGCATGAAGAGTGCCACAAACGACGCGCCAAACCCGTACCCGACCATGAGCATGGGGATTTCCGTGGCACTCACGATGGGCGTGAACGTGGCATGTATGAACACGTATAGAATGATCACACCCGCCACGAACGACGTGATGTCGAGGACGGCGGAAAACGCGCGGCCGCGGAAGCAGATGAGTAGCGCTTCGCCGTACGAACGACGCGCGGTGCTCTCCTCCAGCAAGGGCTGCCTGCGTTGGCAGATAAATTGATTTTGAAGCTTAGAGTAAATTGAATGGGAATTACTACACCTTTTTGCGGTTAATTTCAGCGTTTTTTCACTACCAGTATATTTCGCTTGGCTTACAGTACATAGCACTTCAAATTTGTATTGGGACAAACTACTTCGAAAAGTAGAATACTTAACAGTGGTCGCTGGCGTCGAGGGAACCAGAGATTAGGTTTACAAGAAAATATAGAAATTAAGAGTATTACTGTAGAAAGGTTTTGCGACTAATTTATACTACGTGGTATTGTGTTGAATCTACATGTATTGATTTCTAAAGGCATAATAATGAGAGAGTTTTCAGTGATCGTTACTAGTCTGAGTCACTGTCACTACTATCTTCGGATGCGTCGTCCGACGACATACCATCTTCTACCTCGTCATCATTGGCAAGTAACAACTCATACGTCTCTTGTAGAAGCTTGTTACAGTGCCGAACGCAATTCCAAACGACATCCGAGGGTAGGCTGACAAACGCGGCGTCCAGACGCGACCGCACATCCGCAAACGTCGTATCCACGGTATATTGAACTCCAACGTCGCCTTTGACTTTGGCCCACACCATTTCAATAGGTTGAAGATCCGAATGATGTGTTGGTGTGAAAACCACATCGTGTCCTCGGGCCCGCGCCATGGACAAACGACCGGGTCTCACGACCGGGTCGATACGTGTTGACAAGACTGGTTTGAGCCTCGCCCATATTGTCTTCTTGAGGTCGTGGCTGTCCACGTCAACCGCATAGCGCTGACATGCGCTCAGTAGGTATGCTTTGCGCCATGTACCTCTCGGCGTGTCAGCAGGTAGGCCTTTATGGTATTTTGCATTATCCATCACGAACGTGACCCCTTGCTTTCCCAGGGCTTCGACTTCGGACATGACTTTCTCGAACCACTTGATAAAGTACGTGTGGTTGAACATCGCATGATAATCCTTAGGTTCGTTCTTAGCCTTCGCGCAGCCTTGAAATACGTCTAGGCCAACGACAACGGATTCAGTGGGACTAGCGGCCATGATACCAGCAATAAAACAGAACCGGCGACCCTTATGCATTTCTTTGGTGGGCCATTGTCCGTGGGGTCGTACAGGGAATCGTGGTGGCGTGCGTAGTGATGATGAATGTAGCTCTCATCCAAGTACACCACAGGTGTCGCAGGAGCCAATTGCATCATGTGTTGAACATACACGTCACGAGCTGTTGCATGGGCACTTGACATGGCATATGCAGCGTGACCTCGACGCTTCCCCCGCTTGAATCCGAGCTTCACGAGGAATTGTTGGACACGACAAAGGCAGTTGACGGCCCCAGGTTTGCAATTGACATCGTAGTGAATGATCTTGGCTTCCAGCAACAACGCCATGACATCCTTCGCCACAGTGCGGACACGAGTAACGTTCCGTGTTCGAATAAATTGACGCAGAATAGACGTCACAGCATGTGTATGTGGGATGCGTGTGGTGCGTTGTACTTGGTTGGACGGGGGTGGAACAGCCAAAACGTTTTTTGATCGTAAGTACTGAAACCAAACTTCCTTTACAACCTTTTGGCTTCGACCGAGCAGGCGGCCGATGGTAGAAGACACTTGCATTTGACCGTCACGGCGAAGTTCGGCATGAAGTCGCAGTATGTCAAGACGTTCTTCCTTTGTTAAACTTCTAGGTCGCTCCTGACGAATGTAGCTAGCTATCTCGTCGTAATCGTCGTCACTGATGGCGGTGGTGGAGGGCATGTCCAGGAAGGCGGCTTCGCGAATCGTTGGAGCAAGTTATTAATTTCAGAGGTTTCACTTTGTATCATATGCTAATAAAATGAATACAGTTATTAGAGGTTATACGTTATTTTGGGGCCAAAGTGGTCTATTTCAGGTGCGTTTAGTATCATAACTGACAGAGTATTCATTTCCACGTATGACATCTCGAGGAAGTTTTCTTTGTGGCGGTGAGGTCAGCACACATACAAAATTTCAATAAAAATGATCAAATATTTCTTCAGAAACTCACATTTGTCCCCTCGACGCCAGCGACCACTGTAAATCAATACGAAATTTTAGTACCACGGGACCACTTATTCCGTCGTTATCTGTATTTCACGCGACGTAGTGAAAAAGAGCTGGAATTAACTGTAACCGCAAAATGGTGTCAGTCGTACTACGTAGTAAGGTTAAGCTTATTATAAAGATTGCATGCTGTACTGTGTTTGACTATTTTGAGCAGTAGTACTTTTGTATACTAACGTAAGTATTATTTTAAATCTAAACTCCCGGATAGCAAAAGTCTAAGGGTGACATTTACATCAACATTGACGAAAACGTCCTATGATTGGACTTGTCGGGGCTGACACTTATGTTTGGGCTTATTGAGACCCCGATAAAACCAATGGGTGGGAGGATAAGTCCAAAACTGTCGTATCTAAAGGTTATCCGTATAAATCAGACCTTTAAGTCTGACGAGTGGAGATGCTCGTATACCGTGAAAGGCTATGTCATTATTATTGCCACACCACGAGTACTGTACATACTCATCGGAGTAGTATACTGAAGTTAAGTACAGTCCATCCTTGTCATGTGCATTATTTGGTCATAAGTTTGGTGGAAACTGAACCAGGCCACGACGTTAGAGATGCTTGGCCATAGTCAATGAACGCAGGCGATTTAGCGCAGCGGCAATCTAACAATATATACAGACAGTTATTCTTGTGTTTATTCCAAACTGGAGCGACATGGAGAATCGACACAGCCAAAAGTACACAAGAATTGAGCCAATTAGATTGCAGGAAACCATCACCAACATCGATATAGTGTGAGATTGAAATTAGTGTGAATCCAATCACCAAAGGACAACTTTTTACATACACTCTTCAACAAATCATGGATTTGGCGATTCGGCAGAATGGTCAACCTTTGACTCAAAGGGCAATATGCATTTAGAACTCGACAACATATGCAAAGTACCTCAAACCGCCTCGGGCGCGCATACAGCCCACACCGGTGGTCGCCATTAATTCGATCCAACCCGTCGGCCAACGCCGCGTCCAGTCTATCCAGCAGCTCCTACGCATGCCCCCATCAGGTTACTTCATACAGTAGCATCTCTCTCACAGAAATGGAGCGGCGGCCGTTCATGTCGTTGGCCAAGTTGCCTCGCAGGACATGCGCAATGGCGCGCAACTGGCCTGGCTCGACCAAGTGCCCCACAGCAGACACGTCAATGGCGCCGTCCAAGTCTCCATAGTTAATCGTGTTGGTGCCGAGGCATTTCACTCGGCGGGCGTCCACTACTGGAATACCCGCGGGGTCTAGAACCCGAACGGTCGAGGCTAGAAACGTCGACGATTGGGCAATCGGAGGGTGTTGGGAGGCAATGGTTTTGGCTTGTGTTGTCACGTCCTACAACCAAGTCAGATTTTTATTTACATTTTCACTATAATAGATGTACATACCTTGGGTTGAAATGTATCCATGAGGATGACGTTATCGGCAATTGAAAAGTAGTCGCCCAATGCACCCACGACAAGGATACTCGACACTCCGTGGACCGTAAACAGGGCGCGGGCCTGCAGGTCGTACACACGACAGATCACGTCATCGTCCTACGTATATTTGTACGACAACGTCATCAATACCTTGGTCAAAAACGGCGTAATCGGCTCTTTCTCGGACGCGACCAGTTGCTGCATTTTCCTATATATATATATATATATATTTGTCAACCCCTACTGCAATGATATTTGTCGGTATATTGTACCCATCTCGCGTCATAAAGTTGGTCGCACACGTGTCTTCGTCCATGAGCAACGTCGTCGCGCCCGCCTACAAGACACACACATAACATCTAGTTAGTACTTTTACAAATATATACCTTGATATCATCAATAAAAAAACATACTAATTATAATTGTGCTTTTCAGTCAAATTTTCCTCTTTTGGGGGACAACTAATCGAGCAAAGGAGTATGATTGGCTACAAAGAATGAAGGTTGCAATTTGATTGGCTAAAAAAATTGTCGTCTTGCAGTCACAAAGATACCTCTTCAACTTAGTTTTATATAACATTTCCAAGGTCCGGCGATAATTCAGCGGTTCATTCAACCAACCACCCGCCAGAGGAAATAATATATTTTTTGATTAGAACACACAATACTAGGTAGTAATAAAATGTCAACTACCATACATATAAAAGTACAAAATATCGCAACCTAATTTCAACGTACTTCGATCGCTTCCATGATATTGGCCGCTTGCGACGTACTCCCCGACGCATTGGCCGACGTGAACGCTTCAGTGGTCACTTTCGATGGCAAGTTGGATATGAATGGACTCACGTTGCATCCCACGACACTTCGGCCGTCTTCAGCGCGGATCTTGACGGCGCGGGGGTCCGTCACAACGAACTCTCGTCCGTCGCCAGGCACGGTGTCGTACACACCGCCTTCCACGGCCTGCAGCACCGTCGACTTGCCATGGTACCCGCCGCCCACGAGCAGCGTGATACCTCTTGGAATGCCCAGCCCAGAGATGGGTCCATGATGCGGCAATGTAAACGTCCGATGTAGCGGCGATGAGCGGGGGGCTTGAAACGGCTGGGCTGGGGGACTAGCCATCGGCGTGTCCGATGCGCCGCTCTACAATATATGGTCAAGTGTGTATTGATAACGTTTCTCACCTGTCGGGGCAAGATAGACCCATCCGCCACGAATGCCACCAACCCTTGATCCGCAACCAATTGCCGCAATGCACGCTGGTCTTCGACGCACTTGACATGGCCCCACAGGTCGGCCACGTCGGCAGGGCACACCAACGCTTCAAGGACGAGCGCCGGCACGACGTCCGTCAAGATGCGCGTTGCAAAATCGCCGCAAATGGATCGACCTCGCGCCGGAAGCCCCACCGTGAAACGAGCCTCCACGGATCCGTCGGCGAGCACAAGAACATTCGTGCGCTCGAGGACGTACTGGGATGGGCTGTCCATGGACAAATCCCCGCCCTTGGCCCCATGCCATCCTTGTCCTCCGACTCGGGCGTCTGCGCCGCGAGCTCGGGTGGCGCGCACGAACTGCCGGGCTAAGAAGTCGGCAACGCTGATGCGACGCGATTTCGTCGAGAGCATGTCCGTGGGATACCGGGCACTACTGGCATCGAGAACCACGTGAAAGCGCGACGGTGCGGCAAAGGCGTCGCCTTGGATGGAATCTGCCGCCAAGATGAATGCAGGATGCTCTGCATGACGATACTCTTGCCCCCGGAGCGAGTTGTACGCCCCGTAGTTTTGTCCTTCGAGTTTATAGAGGGTTCCGATTAGCGCACTCCAAGATAGGACTTGTTGTTGCATTTGTGAAGGCAGCCTTTCTCTCGATCGTGACCGCGTCTCCCTCTGACGAGAGGATTCGTCTGCCGTCCGTCGACCTCCGCCGCGGCCATACTTGTTCTTGTAGTACTCGCCGCTACGCCCCATGAAAACCCAAATTCAAGTTTCGTGATTGGTTGGAAATTATCCGACATATAAAAATGATCTGGGTTCCGGATAACGTCCAAGTGTCGTGATTGGGTAGTAATTATCCGGAATATACCGGATAATCAACCCAAAATGATCTGAGTTCCGGATAATGTTTGTCAAGGGGGTGTAAGACAGGGAATGGTGGCAAGCGAAATTTCTGGAGCAGATGGCATGGCGACATGATTTCTGAACCGCCGCGGGGCTTGCCTTGAGAAATATTTGAAGTTAGCGTGAACTTTGCACCTTTCGTCAAAAGGTAGGTAGATCGCTATACACCCGGTGCAGTGCTATAACAGCGCATCTACTACTTGTGACCCGTCAGCCTTGACGTGAACTGTATGTACCTGTGGCATAATGTAACCAGCATCTTTTTCTCCAAAGATTGCAACGCAGTGGCGCCAACTGTCCTATTGGTGTTGCAAATCTGAACTTCGATTACTGCGGGGCGCCAGATATCCCAGCCAAATCATGAAAGCACTTGATGTTTGTATAGAGTGTGGTGTAGAAAGGTCGCACTTGGTTTACTCCGGGTCACGAGATTTCGTCTACAACAAAGCGACCTATCGTGTCCTGGAGACCTTATAGACTTGAAAGAGCAAAGGCTCCCGCAATGTGGAAGTAAACGGGGCGACATACATGTATAGTGTAAAGCCATCGTATAAACGACACGTTTCAAGCCCTTTATCGTATCCGTCGATGTCTCCGTCTATCAACAAAGCTTTGTTAATACTGGAATCTTATATGAAGTAGTCGTGTTGATGGGATTAGGTCGTCATGTCTTCCCGCCTACCTTGGTCGGGCCGCCACGATCTTCGATGGATTGAATGATGGGACAATTGAATACAAATTGCAAGATAAAGGGCAACCACACCCAGTTTTTACGGGGCGCACATACAAACGTCAAGTGTATTTGAATGCCGCCCTAAATCGAAGGCGGGGTGACTTCCTTCCTCTTTTTAGCTTGATGTTTGTATGTAGCCATGTCCAGGAACCGTCGCCACAGACCGAGTCAGATTCAAGTGTGAATATTGCCCGAACAAGAGCAAGACAAGAGAAGAGCGGTGGAAGCGTCGGCATCAAGCATCCCCTTCTTCGTGCATTATCTCATCTCGACCTTCTAGCTTTACCTCACATCCTGGATGAAGTCGCATCCGCCTCCTACGAAGGATGCCGGGGGTGCAACTTCCGCTCCGTCTGGGGACATATCGGTCCAACGGTCGACGCACAAGCAGGCGTCCAAGAACTACTTCAACCTTGACGCTGACATGAAGCGCCAAAGCTCGATGGTGGACTCGGAAAACCGGTTCAGTCAACGTCTGTCCATGATGAACGTCTTACCAGGAAAGCAAGCCAACTTCCAAGACGAACCGTCCATCGACTACTGTTGCGACGTCCTCCAAGCCAAGTTTGGGTTCCAACAAGGATCGGTGGACAACCAGCGTGAGCACGTGTTGCTCTTGCTGGCGAACTGCGCGGCCCGCGCCAATTCCGCGTCGGGGGACAACACGACACACCATGTGCGACTGTTGCATGACAAACTCTTTAGCAACTACAAGGAATGGTGCGCGTTTGTGGGCGCCAAGTCGGTCGCGTTCTCGCAGCCGGCTCAAGGAACCCCGTTGACGTCCGTGCTGCATATGGACCTGATGCTGTACTTTCTCATCTGGGGCGAATCCGCCAACTTGCGGCACATGCCCGAGTGTGTGTGCTACCTATACCACCAAATGATGTCGACGTTGATCAAGGACTCGCCGCAGTCGGAAGGTCGCCCGTCGGGATGGTTTCTGACCGCGGTGCTTCGTCCCGTGTGGAAAGAAGCCACGGTGATGCAAAAGAAGAACGCGCTCGGCAAGCACCTCGAGCACACCAAAGTGCGCAATTACGACGACCTGAACGAGTTTTTCTGGCGGTCGGCGTGCCTCAAGATCCCCGTCGACAAGATTGGCGGCGCGCTGCATGCCACGGCCGGCAAGACGTTTTACGAGCACCGGAGCATCTTCACGCTGGTGCTCAACTACTACCGCATCTTTCACTTCAACTTTATGTTTCTGGTCGTGCTGGCCGTGCTCAATTTCGCCGTGACCATCAGTCCCAACGGCGGTACGGTCGACTTTTCCCAGTTCGCCCAGATTGGAACCGTGGTCAAACCGTACACGAAGCGCGACCTGAACAAGGCGTGGGCCGTACTTGTGGGATCGCATGCGTTTCTCAACTTGTTCAAGTGCTGCCTGGAAGTTGGCCACGGATTCCAGCTCCTCACCGACCCGAAAGCGAGAGCGGCCACGTCGTCGCGCTCGATGACGTATGGCCTCGCCCTCACGCTTCGCCTGGTGTGGAGTTTAGTGTTTACGGGTGCATTTGCACTCATGTTTACTCTGGGGGCACCGGTGAAAGCGGGCGAGTTCGACATGCTGAGCCTACTCAACGTTGCGGCGCTGCTGTACCTTGTACCTGGCGGCGCCATCCTCTTGCTGCAGACGCTGATCCCTGGCACGGGGCGGTCGTGGTTCTCCAAGTTTATCCGCGAAGGCGACAGCTGCTACACGGGCCGACACATGGCGCCGCCCATGGCGTTCCAGGTCAAGTACTATGTGTTTTGGTTCGTGCTGCTGGTATGCAAGGCCGCCGTGTCGTACTGGGTGCTCGTGGGTCCGCTGGTGCTGCCGAGTCTGGCGATTTGGGAAATGAACCTCAAGTACGGCCAAGGCTCGATCGGATCGTTCCACAACATCGGCGTGATTGTCAGCTTGTGGGCGCCCGTCGTGTTTATCTTCAACTACGACACGCAGATCTACTTTACTATCTTCCAAGCCATATTGGGCGCGTTCATGGGCTGGATGATGAAAGTCGGCGAAGTCCGCGGCGTCGACGCGCTGTCGAAAGCATTCCGCGTTGCCCCCCAGCTGTTTGATACCAAGGTCGTAACCGAGTTGGCGCGCCTCGCAGATGCCCAGGAAGGAGGCGGCGGCGGAGATGACGCTGGCCGCGGTAGCCAGTCGGCCGTGTACCAGTCTCAAATGATGCTCCGGTATGTCATCATATATATATGTCGATTTGGAGTGAAAAGTACTATACTTACCGCATTTGCACTTGAATATTGGACTTTTTTATATGATTTTGCAAACAAACTCGATTGATATATCGATATATCGTAGTGTGTATAGTATTAATCCTGGATTTGTAAGATTGTGGGTGATTCGTATCACACTAATTCATGGCATATATATACCACACAAAAGTCGTCGATATATATATATATATATATATATATATGGATGGATGCAGAGTGTGTTGTGTCGTAAATACTTGATGCTTTATTGCCATGTACGTACGTATATACCGCTTCTTTGGCCTGTATATATATATATATATTTTATAACTCTATATACCGACCATTGGTTATATATATATTGTTGTAGGTTTGTGGTGGTGTGGAATGAGATTGTAAATTCATTCCGCGAAGGCGACTTGGTGGACGACAAGGAAGCGGCCATCTTGCAGTACGACATTCAAAACACTGGCGAAGTGTTTGAGCCTGTGTTTCTATCGGCTGGCAAGTTGAACGAAGCGATGGCGTACGCTGTCAAGCTGGGCAAATCGGGACGCGGCGACTCGGAGCTGCGCATCCAGCTGGTCCAGAACGACTGCTTGGGCGCGGTCAAGTCGTTTTTCAATGCGTCCATGTACGTGCTGGAGGCTTTGCTAGCGCCCGACGACACGGAAACCCTCGACGGGTTCCGGCTCATGGAGCAGGCGGCGCTGGACGGCCAGTTTCTCACACTATTTGACGCTGGCTCGCTCTTGCACGTTCGGGCGATGGCGATCGACTTTCTCGAAGCCGTGCTGGACCTGCCAGACCCAGACTCGGCCTCCCCCGTGCTCAAGACCACGGTGCACCCCATGGGCGTGATCCGCAACTTTGTGGCCAAGACGGATAACCTGTTGAACGGCCTCCGGTTGTTTTGTCGGCAGTCAGCGATGGCGGCCAAGTTTCAAAACGTCAACTTTGTATCGTCGGCCAACTCGTACGCGTACGCGGCCAAGGGTCTCGTGAACTTGTTCCACTCGGACACGGCCATGGGCGCCGCCACGCGCGCGTACTTGCTCATGTCCCTCGACCGGCAAGACGCCATGCCCAAGTGCGGCGAGGCGCAGCGCCGCCTCGGCTTTTTCATGCAGTCGCTGCTCATGGACATCCCCCAACTGAGCGCGATTCGAAGCATGCGGTCGTTTTCGGTTGTAACTCCGTTTTACAGCGAAGGCGTCATCTTTTCACTGGACGAGCTCAACAACCCCCTGGAAAACCACCCAATTTTCAACAAGGCTTCGGAAATCGACAAGAAGATCACGATCCTCAAGTACCTGATCACGATCCACCCCGAAGAATGGGATAACTTTCTCGAACGCATCGACGTGTCCAGTGTCGACGCGGCGATCCACGAGTACCCCATGGAGCTGCGGCTGTGGGCGTCGTACCGCGGCCAAACGCTGGCCCGAACCGTTCAAGGCATGATGCTGTACGAAGACGCTATCAAGATCCTCCACTGGCTCGAGATTGGGTCTTCGCCGAACCGCACACCGGAGCAAAAGCAGCAGCAGCTGGAGGACATGATTCGGCTCAAGTTTTCGTACGTGTGCGCGTGCCAAGTGTATGGCAAACACCGCGCCGAGAACGCCCAGCAGGCCAACGACATTGATTTTTTGCTGCAAACGTACCCCAACTTGCGTGTGGCGTACGTGGACACGATCGCATCCTCTTCCGATGGAGCCACTCGATACGAAACGGTGCTGATCAAGGCCGAAGGCGACGACATTGCCGAAGTGTACCGATGGGAGCTCCCCGGGGACCCGATTCTCGGCGAAGGCAAGCCGGAAAACCAGAACAATGCGCTGCCATTCACCCGCGGCGAGTTTCTCCAAACCATCGATATGAACCAGCAGCACTACTTTGAAGAGTGCCTCAAGATGCCCCAGCTGCTCGTGACGGCCGACATGCACGCCTCCAAGAAGCCTGTGACGATCATTGGCATGCGCGAACACATCTTCACGGGCAACGCATCGTCCCTGGCCAAGTTCAAAACGTGGCAAGAGCTCGTGTTTGTCACGCTCAGTCAGCGCGTGCTCGCCAACCCGCTCTGTGTCCGCATGCATTATGGCCATCCAGATATCTTTGACAAGGTGATGGTGCTGACCCAGGGCGGCGTGTCAAAAGCATCCAAGGGGATTAACCTGAGCGAAGATGTGTTTGCTGGGTTCAACTCGACCCTTCGCGGCGGCGTCGTGACCCACGTCGAGTTTATGCAGTGCGGCAAGGGTCGCGATGTCGCCATGTCGCAGATTTCCATGTTTGAAGGCAAACTGGCCAACGGCGCGGGGGAGACGGCGCTGGCCCGCGAAGCATACCGCATGGGCGCGTTCCTCGACTTTTTCCGGCTCAATAGCATGTACTACTCGCACACTGGGTTTTACTTTGCCACGTGGCTCACGATCGTCACGTCGTACGTGTACATTTACGCCAAAGTGTACTTGGCGCTGTCGGGGGTCCAGACCCAGATTGTGGAGCTGATGAACACGACCCAAGTGATTTCGCTCAACGCGTACCCGTTTGGGTTTGATGACCGCGTGTACAACGACCTGGACAGCGTCATGAACACCCAGTACATCATCCAGGCTGGTCTGTTCCTCACGTTGCCGCTGATTGTCGTGTACTTTGCCGAATTGGGGCTCATTGGCGGCGTGACCAAGCTGGCCAACATGATCTTTACGGCTGGCCCAGCGTTCTTCGTGTTTCAAGTGGGTACGACCATGCATTACTTTGATAACAACATCATCCACGGCAACGCCAAGTACCAAGCGACGGGGCGGGGGTTCAAGATCACGCGGGAGACGTTTGTGTTGCTGTACAAGGCGTACTCGACATCGCATTACCGCAAGGCGTGGGAACTCGTCGGGCTGTGCATGCTCTACTTGACGTACGGGAGCTTTAACATTTGCAACCGCGAGCCAAAGGACGGTAACACGTTTGCAGCCGACTTTTGCGAGACGGCGCAGGGCTACGGCACGCAGACGTTTGCGATCTGGTCGATTGCGATTCTGTGGCTGCTCTCACCGTTCATTTTCAATGCGGATGGACTCGACTATGAAAAGACCAAGTCGGACGTGGTGGCGTGGTGCAAGTGGATGTTTATGGACGAGCAAGCGACGGACCCTGACAAGGTGCACACTGGCGGGTGGATTTCATGGTGGAAGGGCGACCAGGAGCAGTACTATGCCACCACGGGCATGGCGCGCCTCACGGTCCTCGTGCGCGAATCTCGCCATTTCTTCATCATGTGGTACGTGATCACGCTCAAATTGCAAGCCAAGTACGTGCTGTATACGCTCGCGGCGGCCGCGGCCACGCTCGGGGTGCTCTACTTGTTTCACTTGGTGGGGCTCGCGCTGCGCAAGGCGGCATTTATGGGTCGCGCGGCGCTCTACTTGTTTTTGCTCTTGCTGTTCGTGGTCGGGAGCTTTGTCTTGATGAACCTGGTGCTGTTCAAAGCCACACCCGACGACGCCTGGGACAAGAGCCTGAGCTTATTCTACGGGTACTGCGCCGCGCTGTACGGGATCAACGAGATGCTGCGCGTGGCCAACTTCAAGGGCATGGCCGCGCACGACGTGGCCGTGGTATCTCAGCTCGCGTTCTTTTTCGACTTTATCTTTGGCGCGTTGCTGCTGCTCCCGCTCATCGCGCTCAGTTGCATCCCGTTTATGAATGCGATCCAGACGCGCATGATGTTCAATGAAGGCTTCTCCAAGGCCGTGTCGGCGTCGTCCCAGCATGCGTTTTCCCTCGCCGCGGCGCTCGGCGCGCTGGTCGGCGTCGCCTGCGGGTGGATGTACTACATGCTCCTGTCTGTGGACCTTGCCCCGGGGTACAGCATCTACCTGACCACGTACAAGCTGACAACCGTTGAAGCGGGTAAAGGCATGACGTCATACATTACGCTGGGAGGGGCCGTCGTGGGATCGATTCTAACGAGCTTTATGGGGTACGCCGTCGGCCACCGCATGACGGTGCTCATCGCGGGCATGCTGAGCGTGCTCGGGTGTGTGGCGTTGAGTTTGATTCCGTCGATGGCGCCCAAGACGGGGTCGCAGTCGCCCCTGGTGCTCTTTGGGGGCATTGGGCTCTTGGCCATTTCGCTCGGTATGATGCTGCCCGCCGTGTCGTGCTACATTTACGAGATTTCGACGTACGACATGCGCGCCAAGACGATGCTTCCGCTCGCGTTGGCCTTTGTCGTCGGCACGGCCATCTCGTCATATTATGCTGGCGGCGCCGTGGGCTGGGTATGGCAGTCGTTTTGGTGCGCGCTGCTCATGGCGCTGGTGACGCCCCTCATGAACATGTTTCCCGAGTCGCCGCAGTGGGTGCTCGAGCGCAAGGGGTATGAAGAGTGCGAGACGGCGCTGAGCATTCTGCGCCAACGCCCCGAGAACACCGCGGAACTGCGCGAACTGCGCGAAGACCAGGCGCATGCCAAGAAGGACCGCGACGGCGGGTCGGCGTTGTACAAGGCAGGGCTGTCTGTGCTATGCATGCTCATTTCGTCGCTGTCTGTGGGATCTCTCAATATCTTTGTTGCGCGCACGTTTACCTCGTTTGCCGACGACAACTTGGTATTTACCAACACGCTTGTGGTCGAGGCGTCGGGCGTGCTCGTGAGCTTCTTCGTCATGGACAAGTGGCCCCACCGCAACCTGCTGACATTCACGCTGCTCGGCATGGGGCTGGGCGCTGGTACGCTGGGAGCGGACGATCTGTACCCGTTTTTGCAAGGCAATTCGCAGCGCAAGCTCATCACGTCGTTGTTTATGTACGTGCTGTTCTTTATCAAAGGGCTCGGGCTCACGTCGACGATTTGGGTCAACGTGACGGGGCTATTTGCCACGAAAACCCGCTTTGTGGCTGTGCCACTGCTATTTGCGCTCTGGTTTGCCGCACCCGCCGGCAGCGTGGCCCTCCGCGTGATCAGCTACACCAAGAACGCCTACCTTTGGCTCTTTGCGCTCTCGGCGCTGTGCCTCGTCACGCTCTTCCTTGTTGTCATGACGTCGAACCGCGCCAATGGACTCATCTGCACCCGCAACGACATGAAGAAGGACAAGGCCCGCCGCGATCGCCTCCGCGGGTCGCGGCACTCGCGCACCCCCGGCAGCTTTACCCGCAACCGCCGCCAGTCGAGATCGGCCCGCCAGTCGCGATCGAATTCACTCGCCAAGTCATTCCAAGGTAGCTACCAGCTCGTGGCCTCGCCTAACGCGAATTCGCACGTTGTGTAGATATATATCATATATATATACTTTCATATATACGACAGATTCTTGCATTAGATATATATATATACTTTTATATATACGCCAGATGCTTGCATTTCGATGAATAAAGCACGAATGCGTGCGTTTTGCGTTTGGCAGAGGACGTTTTTTTGCCCGACATGTTTCACTCGTACAATAACTAGTACTACTACTACATTTACTAGTACATACTCGTATACAGTATGTAGTACAGTAACAAGTAGTACATAATACTACTGTATGGGTCGACGAGGGCAACTGTAGCTACATTCATATCGCTTGAAATAGGTGAGTTTGTACTTTACGGTACAGTACAGCGTCACGTACAGTGTATCTGACACATGGATTGAAAATGGAATCTCAGGTGCAAGTTGTTGTGATTTTCACATATTATTACTATGTACTACTACGTAGTACTTCGAAGCAGTTGGGAAGTACTGTACGTACAGTAGTATAAGATTAGTACTCCCAACCTTCACACTACAGTTACTAGTACTGTATGTACCTGCTCGACATCTTGGTGCAATATATAAAATATATAATATATATAACTGGCTTCTGTCACCAATCATACACTTCAAGTGCGAAATGCCCACATCGTCCCTTAGCCCATAGTTCCGCGTCCGCCCCATAATCGTGTTGCGCTACTCGCTTCCGTCATCCGTTGATTCGGTCGCTAGCTCCCGTGTCTTTACTTCAGAGGGCTGTGGCGATTGGTGCGGACTTGACCCATTCAGACCAGCGAGGGCCGCCGCAGCCGCCGCGGGGGGGTCCGATCTGGCATGGGGCGAGGCAGGGGGTGTGTGCTGGTGCTGCGGGGCGATCCGCATTACAAACTGGTTCACGATGCCGTTGAGGTTGCTCACGTTGGCGTCCACCCCCGTGAGCAGCTGGCCTAGGTGCTGGTTTGCATCCGAGAGTACGTTGCAGCGATGTGTGAGCAGCATGATCGTTTCTTCGGCGCGGACGAGGCGCTGGCCCAGTCGTTCCACGGCGTGTTCCCATGGAGATGCGACTTCCTGGTGGTATGGCGGGTGGTGTTGAGTCAGCATATGATGATGGGGATGGTGCTGGCGGGGACCGTCGTTCAAGAGGTCTTTGATCCCGGACGACGGCTCCCGCTTGACATGCCGGCCATCGGTAGAGTCTGGAGTCGACTCGGGGTACGACGATGATGACGACGCTTGCGCCAACGCGGCTGCCGCCACCACGCCGCGCAATCGTTCGTCGTCATGGTGGTGGTCGTGGTCTGGGTGGTGACGGGGCTGGTGGTGGTGGTAGATCGGGTGGTGGGCGTACGGCGCCGGGAACGACTGGGATGATGAAGATGGATGGGTGGTGGAGGAGGAGTGCAGCGATGGCGGGGGCAACGAAATGTGGTGGTGGTGTGGGGTGGACGATGCCGCCAACCGACGGCGGTGTTCCATCTCGCGGGTCCATGCGTCGTGTTGGTGGTGATGGTGGTGTGGACTCTGACGTGGAGAGCCGCGGTGGTGACGAGGTGCGTCCTGTGACTGCAAGGATGCGTCCACCGACTGTTGCGGCGGCACCGAGGACGACGTCGTGGAAGTTGCCGAGTCGTTCAGAAGTTCGTTGATGCCCCGCTTCTTTTCTCGCTTCTTCTTCACAGGTCCTTTGGTGCGGACGACTGGGGTCGCGGTGTCTTCGACATTCGCAACGATCGTCGTCGTCGGGCCACTTTCGTCGTCTTCCGTATCGTTCTCGGGTTCATCGTTGGCTCCGTCCACAATCACACCTGGTGCGGCCACTTCGATGTGCAAGTCTCGAAACGTTCGCGACGACGGGTGTCCATGTTCCTTGTGGATACGGTCCCAATGGCAGTGCACGGCGTTGTATCCGATGGTCTGTCCTGCCTTGTGGCAGAGCGAACACCGGTACCGCTGGTCCTTCTTGGCTTTCGGGCGGGGGTCGCTATCACTCATGGCGCCGAATGTGTACTCTTTGTTCGAGTGTTTTGGGAAGAACACCCAAACGGGCGGATGGGTAGTCAAAAAACGTCTTGTGGTAAAGGGTGAGGTTGGACACGTTAAACGTGGGAACCGTCGAAAAAGCGTGTTTAAACGTGTCAGAACCGAGGGGGCGTGGGGTATTGCCCAAGTACCGATTTGGGACAAACCTTACCCCAACGTTGCATTCGGCTGGATGTTGGCGATATACAGGTCCGAATGTGGGACAAAGGCTTTCTTTTTTTAGAATTCGCACCATATATTATTGTGAGAAAACAATTTTCATGCATCTCGACATCGAAATAAGGTACGACGACGTTTTGGTCCTATTGTGTCTCCGATACTAAACGCAAGACGATTTGGACACATATATATATATATAAATCCTCATTTGGTTGAGATTCAAAATCAATGGTTGTTGTTGACCACCGTACTGTATGAACCTGTTTGTTCACGATGGCATCAATACTACGTAGTATACTGTATCTCAATTGAGTACTAGTACTCCATAGTAGTAGTTACTACAGTATGAACACACTCGAATACAGTATTGACTGACGTAGTACTGTAGTACTACTACATTGCAGTTGGGTAGGTGGATGGTCACAGGAGTGGAACTTCAAGTCGCCATGTGTAGTCGCGATTATAGAGTTGGTACATACTGTATATGTACCGACAGAGTGTACAGTAGCTACCGTAACTACATAGTACAATAGTACCGTAGAGGAGTTTCGACAGCGCGCTTAAAATAACATGCAAAACGACGTCACCAAGTCCTGAAACTGCCTTTCCGAGCCTGGTATTCCAGTTGTTGAGGTACTCCACCTCATGACCAACGGGTAGTCAACTTGCATGAATGCCGACTCGAGTACAATCGATGACACCACGGCTGGTGGTGGTGCTGGCGATGGCAGTTACAACGCCAGCAACGTCGAGGACATTCTCAACTCACTGGTCGTGGACAATGTGACTGGCCTCAATGTCGTACGTCGTCCCCCTTACTTTCACCCCCTTTTTGCAAACAAACACTGATGGTCAAGTGTGCATGGAGTAGAAGAATGCGTTTTCTGCGCTGCTCAAGCTACTTCGCCATCGAGACGGCGCTGTGCAGATGCACCGACTCCGTGGCGAGCACACAGTGATGTCGATGCTTCACACCAAGGCGGGGGTGGCCGTGGTCCAGTCCTACGGGTTCGTGCTCATGCGAAAGCTGAGCTGTGTGTGTCTGGAGAGCAATCATATCTTCGTCGACAACGGGGCTGTCGGGTTGATCTCAGATGCCTTGCGACGATTTCCCAATGACACCATTTTGCAGGTAAACGACGCGAACTAGTGGGATTGCACTGCCTGCCTACCTGCCTTGCTGACACTGTGGTGGCTATGCAGGCATCTGCATGTGGAGCGCTGCTACCGCTTGTCAAGTATGCAGCCACAGGCAGCATCGACGCGCTGCTGTCTGTGGGGATTCTACCGCTGCTCGTGCGGCTCTTGCTGTTTCAAACAGACAAGCATCCGTCGCAAATCACGATTTATGCCTGCCTCGGTACATAATAACCCAGTTGCCTTGTTTGCTTTGATACCAATCTACCTACGTAGTGCTGGCCCAAGTGTGCGACCAGCGAGGCAAAGACACGATCGACCAAATTCGAGCTGCGTCCACCGTGGCTGCCGACAACGAATGGATGTTCCTCCACGCGGTAACGACTATGCTCAAAGCCAGCCTAGTCCAGGACGACAACGGCCGGAAACTCAGCTGCGCCCTGAGCACCCTCCTTCTTTGGTACGTCACAGTTATCAATATAATAGATAGCACAGCTATGGTCTCATGAACTATGCAGCTTGATGTCGTTGGATCGAACTGTGACCCAGGTGATGCAGGAGCTGGGGGCGATCCCGACAGTGTCGTCGGCGATGGTCCGATACGCCAACGACGCAGGCACGTTTGCATATGTTATGACCCTCGATACGGATAGAGTTCACTTCGTTTGAACTGTTTCTGACTACTGGTATATATTAAAATTGGCCTGGTGGATGCAGGAATTGTCAAGTATTCGGACACGGTGTGCCAGCAACTAGCCAAAGCGTCGTCGCCTAAAAAAGGTAGCGTTACTGTCACGCTTTGTTCGCTCGTATTGAGGCCATATTCGTGGGTATTTGTGTTAGGTAAACAAGTTGCAAGCTCCGCCATAGGAACCAAAGCCCGCAAAGGGGGCGCCAAGGCCCGACCTGCCGAAGGGGTCGTGTACAACCTCCAGCTGCCGTCGGTGGCGTCGCCTCCAAGCAAACGCGTTCAAGCACAAATGACGCCAACCTACGGGACGAACGAAAGCAATGTGCTGTCTGCGAATGCGTTTGCTGCGTCCAAGCCGCCTGGCGAATCAAATCCAAGGACCACCATGACGACCAGGGTCCGCCCGAGTCCGTCCGACCCAAACTTGCCGTCCCTGGAATCCCTCCAGTCGTCCGACATGAAATCAACGGCCAAACGACCGTCGCGACCCACGCGACAGACCGGCAGCAGTCCCCCCAAGCGCCCCGCCAACCCCCCCAAAGCAGCCTTTCCAGCCTCCCCCACGACATCCCCCAAGCCAAAACAGGCGGCGGCGGCGTCGGATCGACCGCTCGTGGGGTCTCCAAAGTCCACCCAAGCCCACTCGGTGATTGTGAAGCAGGGCGACCCGGCGATCGAAGTGGCCATCAAACGACCCCCAGGTCGATCCAGCAGCGTGGGGGTGTCCCCTCGACAGATGTCAGTGCCCCTTATCGTGGTGGATCAGGCATGGGGGGGCCCAATCGAAGAAGACGAGAAACAGACGGCGAGGACGAGCCCGACTCGCCCTGTCCCCCCCCCGCCCAAGGTCATTACCCCCCTCGGTTCTTCGGAACACGTCGGCTCGAGCGTGTTTCGGTTCCGTCGAACGGTAGATACCAGTTCACAAGCTGCTCCGAATGGCGGCGGGGGTTCAGAAGGTGCTACTGCTGATGTGAACCCAACCTTCCCTGTCAACGGAACTCCCTCTATCCCTCCCCCGGATGGAGTATCGTGTACCGCCGACATGCCACTGCATCCACGCAACATTGAACCCACCGTGGACAGCTTCGAGCCCACAAGGCCTTGTATCACGACGGCGGCGGTGACGGGGCGGACGCACGCGACTAGGGACGGCATTGTCGACCAGGCGACTCCACGTGATGCTGCTTTGTCGTCCGCAACAGAGAAACATCCGTCGAAAGGACCAGTGGAAGACATGACGAGTCCTGGCCAAGAACAACAACAAGACACCAACACACTGGGCGTCATCTCTGACGAGCCTCCCCGCGACCACACTGACGACACGACTGCTTTTCTCGAGCCACCTCTGCAGTCCCAAACGCCCCATACTTCCACCCGCCCGACCGGCGATCCTGAGGAGGCAGACCTGTTAGTCGACAGGAAGACCGACTTGGCTACAGACGGATCAGGGGCTGCCAAGGGTGTTGACCCCTGCGCATTCGTCGAGTTGTTGGCACCCTTGGACGCTTCACCGCCCCATGACAACGGGAAAGCACTAAGTCCGCGCCGGTACGGGCCGATGACGCCCGCCAACACATTTGTCGGCGCCTTCTTCCCTCCCATTTCGACATTGGACCTGGATGTGGTCGCGGCGGACTTGATGCTCGTGGAGACCGTGATCGAGACTGCCCGACGACCAACCGACCGACGGTTCGTCCCTATGACCCCTGCCAACACGTTCGTGGGACTGCAAAACACCGATGCAAAGAACGGCAAAGTCCCTGGAACGACTTGTCCGGTGGAGTTTGCCCTGCGCGACGACACCGACCACGATGTGCTGGTGCCCCTTCTCGCTGCCCAATTGGTTGGGAGTTGGCTGTACGATGCAACGCTCAGTCTAAGTCAATCGAAACACGACCAACAAAGCAGGAGTCCACTTTGTGACGACGACGACAACGCACTGGAGTTTTGTCCAACGGTGGCGACTGCTCAGGAATTGCCGGCATGGAGCGCTACCTCCACAAACCACCAAGAACCCCCTAACGCCGACGTCCAAGGAATGATGGCCCCGTCTATAGAGGTCTCGATGTTGGCGGGTGGTCAAATGGTTCGAGGGTGTTCCTGCGATGTGCAAAATCGACTTGTGGGGGACCCCATCCCTTTAAGCGTGCAATGGCAAGACGAAGAAGACAACATGGATAATGCAAATAGACGCCGTGTCAGTGAGTCATTCGAAGCGCTTCCACCACCGTACGTGGACGAGTATGACGTGGCGATCGCTCGAGTGGCCTCCCAACTCGTCCAAGTATGGCTGTATGACACGATGGATAAACTGGTGTCGCAAGCCACAACAGCTGCACCAACTCTCATCGTGATGGCGCAGCTGTCCCCTCCCGATATTAGTCCTTTGTGTGGACTGGCCATGGACGACATCTGCGACACGGTGTCGTCATCGTATTCGTGTCAGATTCACGAGCTAGAACGGCTGGAACAAGCCACACTGGGAACACCAGAGTTTCAACACGAGGCTGCAAAAGAGGCACCGACAACAGCAGCAGCCGCAAGCGACGTACAACCCACAGACACGCTGCAAGAAAGGGACGAGGTCTGCTACGAGGCGGATTTTGAAGGTTTTGTTTCTACTCCAGAGGGGGTTCCAGTTGACATGTTTCCTCCCGTGGTGACGGTTCCTGGAAAAGAAATCGAGGGGCTTGACACTCCCTCCACCAAAACAATTGAAGACGAATCTCTGGTCGTGCAAGTGTCGGTGGTGGCCAGTCAATTGGTTAGGGCTTGGATACACACCGCTGTAGTGAGTTGTATAAATCGAATAGTGACCCCTCCAGCTTATTCGGGCGAGGACTTACTCCCGGCAGCCAGCCTGGTCCCCAACCTCCCCCCACCACTTGACCCCCTTGAACCCCCCTCAACCCCCTCGTCGCCTTCGTCCTTGGTGAATGATGGTTTTTCAATGGTCAGTGAGGACCCAAAAGACCAGCACTTGGCCGTGGACGTGTCGCTGGTAGCCGCTCAATTGGTGCAATCTTGGATCTACGAAACGCTGGACCGCGTCACGACGTTCTCCACGCGGCCCCACGAGCACCACCACAACCACCACCAGCAGCAGCATGCTTCTGAAGATTGGGGGCGAGACGAGGAAGTAGAAACAACCAAAGGGGCAACCGCCCAAGGCGACGACTGTGACGAGTGGAGTGTGGCATCGGCGATGCTGGCTCAACGCCTCGTCCAGGCGTGGATGTACGAAACGCTGGCGCGAGTCACGCAGTTCTTTTCCACGCCACCCACTGACCCCCACCACGACCACTCCCTTCTACACGTTGATTCTACCGACGAAGAGCGCGATCCACCCAATCTGCGGACGGCCGACACAACGCTTCTGGACGACGTAGTACATCACCGGCACAGCGTCCAAGTGTCGTTGGTTGCCAGCCAATTGGTGCAGATATGGGTGTATGACACGGTTGATCGATTGGCCCAGACGCAACAAGTCGGGGCTGTGGATGAGTATGCTGACGATGACTTTGACGATGACGTCGGGGCTGTGGATGCTGACGCTGACTTTGACGACGAAGACCAGGATCACAACAGATTGCCTGCATATCAAAGCATCGGGGGGGATGTCCACGGCGTGGAGTTTGGAGTCTGCGGGGACGAAGGGGGGGACAGCCCGGCGTCCGTCGAACTCGAAGGAACGGAACTGAAACCTCATAAAGGGGGGTCGACGGACGAAGAAATTAACGACGTCGTGTGCCTAGTCACGTCAAAGCTGGCCCGGCAGCTGGTGCAATTGTGGATATACAGCACCATGTTAGATGATCGCTTAGGCAGTTCTTGGGGCATTGGGCCAAGGGGTGCTGTCTCGAAGACGGGTGTGATTGACAGTGGGACGGCGGCTTCCCACGACGACATGCACGACGGCGATGACGAAGGAGGAAAACCTGTGTCATTTGAAGTGTCCAGGGTATCACATCTGCTTGTTCATGGTTGGGTGTACGAGATATTGGACAAGCTCAGCCGTGCAATTCCTTCTCGAAATCCACTGGTGACATTGTCGCATGAAAAATGCAACGAGGAAGGTCTACAAGATGGTACCAGCGTCAACAGTATGTCTATAACAGATGCGGCCGAGAGTGGCGGAGCGGCAGCACCTCTTACAACTGCCAACGACGAGTACAAAGAAGGTGAAGCGGACAGCCAACTGTCGGTGGCGGCGTCCGTCTTGGCCGCCCAGTTGGTCCAAGCGTGGATCGTTGAAACGCTGCAACGCGTGGTTCGATTCACCACGCGACCTCACGAACACCCCATGGTCCCTATTCGCGACCGCGCCACAGCAGAGTGCCACGTCATCACGAGTCTCCTCGACCCTCTAACAGCCATCCATTCGAGCAGTCCTTCGAATCCCATGGCATTTGACGATGGTGATGTTTGGAACGTCCAAGTGTCGTCTGTGGCTCCGTTGGTCAAAGCATGGTTATTTCAAGGCATGCTGAACGCCGTGGAGTCGCTTATTTCCTCATCTTCCTCTGTTGTTTTCATTGACCAAGGCCTCCTTCGCCACGATGTGTCGGATGCGACCATCCTCCGTCCGCCGATTCTGTACTTTGACCAAGCCACCGCCCGTCGACCAGAGTCGTCCCTAAGCGATCCAGAACTCGATGGCCAAGCTCCAGTGGGGGGAAGTGTGGAGGTATCGCTACTCACGGCGCAGCTCGTCAGGGGATGGATTTACTTTACACTGGACGACGTCGTGCGATTTTCCACCTTTCGGCAACATCACGACGCCCAGGCTGCCACGTCATACGACGTGTCATCGTCACCACCGCCAGACACACCAAACGAGTTGGTATCGACGATGCACGCTCAACCAGATGATTCAGTGACTGCTACGTTGGACTTGGAAGACGGTCGTGAGGACGAGCGGGGCGTGGCCGTGTCGTTCGTTGCGGGGCAGCTGGTTCGGCTGTGGCTGTACGAGACGATGGACGCGATTGTTCGGTTTTCATGCCACCACGACCAAACAGCCCCTGTGTCGACGCCCCCAGCCATCCACTTTGTCGAAGCGGGTTGTTTTATCGACGCTGTGACTCCCCCCGTCGTTTCTCCAGAGTCGGGGGCTTTCGTTTCAACCCATCGGGACCACGACGAAGAACATGATGTGTCGCTGGAGGTCGTGCTCGTGGCCAACTTGCTTGTCCGCGCGTGGACATCCGACGCCGTGCTCAACATTGTCGACCGATGGCAAGCTGATCACGATGCCGTTCCTTCCTGTATCTCGTCCTCGGCAAAGGAACAGCCGCAACTTGACTTGACGACCGCTCCATGTCCACAGGAAGCTGAGACTAGACCAATATGTTTAAAAGGTTGGGCAAGGGACGACAACAACGAGTCGTTGGAAGTGGTACTGCTGGCGAATCTGCTTGTACGGGCTTGGACATCAGAGGCGATACTTCGCGTGATGTATGACAGTTCGTTTCCAATTCCAGTGGATGTCACTACTGGCAGCTCCACCTCGCTGCTAAGCCACGATGACCACTCGTACTTCCCTCTTGACTGTCCAATCATTGAACGCAACGAACTGCAAGTGCCTCACAGCGACGGCGGCACTCCTCCATCTCACACATCACCTTTTGCTGTGGATGCTGCTGCGTCCAAGGCTGTCGTCAACTCGACCGGCGAAGGCGAAACAATACCCCCCCTCGAAGTCGTACTGTGGGCGAATCTCCTCGTCCGTGCGTGGACTTTCGAAGCGATGGTGCTGGTACTCGATGCAGCACCAATGTCTATCCCCCCCGGCCAAGGGAGTTATCCCCCCGAGGAGGTCACTCCAGTGGTGCCCTCTGTTTTGATCCCGTTCCCTGCTCCATCCTTTACCATATCCCCAGCAACAACTGCCCCCCGCGAGAACTCGACAGACGATGAAGTGTCCTTTGAAGTCGTCCTTTTGGCAAGTCTCCTTGTTCGAGCGTGGACGTGTGACGCCATGGGTTGTGTCCTGGATGCCATCGCCGAGGCTCCGCTTGATCCCCGTGCCGCCGATTCCACTTTGAACCAGATTGCTTCCAGTTGTACTGACCATGCATCGAGTGCTGTCACGACAGTCGAAGGGGCAACATCTGACGTCTCGACGGTTTCCCCTTCGCCCGACCCAGATTGTTTGTTGCCCACGGCACTCCCGGCGGCGGCAACTGCTCCAATTGGCTCGGTCCTCGACGATGAAATGTCCTTAGAAGTGGTGCTGCTAGCGAACCTCCTCGTTCGAGCGTGGGTATCTGACGCCATGGGCCGAGTTTTGGATGTCGCTGACGGCGACGGCCTAGCCGAACAAATAACCCCCACAACTGCTTTATCCACCGACGAATCGCCTACAAAGCAGGAAGTTCTGCGGCCAAGACCATTGTCCTCACAAAGTCAACATGTGAACGACTCGATTGATTTCCCAACGGCTTTAACACCGCTACAAGTCGGACCGTTGATGGAATCAGTGGTGCGACAGTGCCCTGGTGGTTCTGACGTCGAGCAATCTCACCAAGTGATGTCGTTGGAGATCGTCTTGCTTGCAAACCTCCTGGTGCGTGCGTGGGTGTCGGAAGCTGTCATGAATGTGACCCTTTGTGACCCCCAGCTGTATCTGTTGCGCCGCCCGCCAACTTCGACCGATCAAGGGCTCTTACAGAAAGCCAGTGCAGGGTCGGATCAACCAGACTCTACTGAACCCTCGCGCCAGGATAATAGGACCAAGCCCCTCGTGCGTACGACTTTGCAGTGTGGCACTGCTTCGGCCAGCGACATCCAAAAATCTACCGAAAAGACTTTGACCGATCAGCACGACGACATGGTGTACGTCCTGCTGGCCAACTTGCTGGTGCGGGCGTGGATATCGGAAGCAACGGGGCTAGTCTTGGACAGAGTGCCAACCCATATCCCTTCACTGTTCACCACTACCAAGTTTAATGTACCCACGGACAAGAACAGCGTAGACCTTGCCATTGCGTCAACTTGTTGCCTTGCTAGTAGTAGTACTAGTAGTACTAGTAGCTCTCTGCCAGACGAAGCCGACGACGACAAACACATTGCGGCGATCTTTACCAAGTGGAACGAGGGCGAATGCACCCACGAGTCGTGTCGACGACTGGAGGGGGAGTATTTGAAAGGGGCGTTGAGTGTGGGGGACTGTGTGGCGGGGTACGTGGCAGCCCCAGTGACGTCCGCGATGACGAACGTTGGCACCTTCCAATGGCCACAAATTGCCACGAGTCCACACGAGATGGACGTGGCCATCGCGTTGCTGGCGGCGCAAATGACTCGGTGGTGGATCTTTGAAGCGCTCTGTAGTGTGTCCAACAAGAAGCTCCAGAAGTTGCTGCTACGGGGCGACAGTACCCAGCACCACCACCAACGGTGGTCGTCGTAGAAGGTCGCCATAGCATAGTAGTGAACCTCACATTATAATGAACTGCAGTCGAATACTATGTATTATTATGGAAATTACAGAAATACAGTATTGACGTTAACGTCGTTTTAGATCAAATGCACCGACTCGCAGTACGTTCGCAGCGTCCGTGCCATCACTTTGCCTTGATTGTGCTTGGAAGCTTCGAGCATATTGAGCACTTCGACGAGCTTGGTCGTGTCGCATTTCCCCGATACCGCCTACGTCCATGTGCCAAATATATGTATATATCTTCAATGATAAACAATTATATATATATTGTACTTTGTGAAAGTACCCCACACAAGCGCCACGCTTGGCTTCCCAGAACTCTGGATCTGGGTCCACGCGCTCCAGCACGTCAAATGCCTTGGCCGCGAAATAATAGTCGGCCATCTAGATATATATATATCCACACCATCAACAAATATATCGTCAAAGACTATATATATATATATTTGCGCGTATTTCGTGGATATATATATATATACTGGACCCCTACGTACAAGGTAATATTCGTTTGCGATGAGTTTGAGCAGCTTGAGAGCGTTGGCAGCATTTCGGACGTTCAGATACACGTCCCACGCCAGGTGCGACTGCGAGATGGATCGGATGTGGCATCTCGACAGCCACGCCACGTAAATGAAGTGCTGGCGCCAGGAAGGGTGCTGAACTTGACAGAGCACGCTTTCTCCCTCCTTCATATATATATATATATCATCATTCCGTGAAAAACACAATATATATATATATATATATATATATATATATGTACCGAATACATGCCCGTGGCAGCTAGCGCCACGCCATAGTTCCAATTGAACGCGTCGTCGTGGACATGATACATGGCAATCGACTTCAAGTACACCAACGCCGTGTCAAACTATTTAAATTACCATCACCAATATACAGTAACCATACTAAGACGCTGCCTTATCCACAAGAAATAGAATAGAGGGCATATTTATATATATATACATCTAGCGAACAATATACGTATATATATATATAAGGACTAAAATACATATATCAAATCTATGTATATTGTTCTTTAGATATGCCTAATATATATATATATATAATATATATATAAATATATATTGTATGTAGCCAAGTGCCAAAGGTATGACCTCGTTTCGAAGCATGTACATTGACGCCATAGCCTGTCGGCCTCGTATGGTGTCGCATTCCGATGGCGCGGCGCCGACTGTTTCAAAGAACTTTTCACTGAGAAACAAGTGCTCGTTCGTGGGGGTTGTGATATTGTGATGAGCTTGGTTGGTTTCCACTTGCTGTTGCCCCATCCACATGTGCACAATAGCTAGCATCGTCCCGATTAGTCTAGCTACTACTACTACTACTACTAGTAGTACTAGAACGACGGATATCGTCGTACCTTTTAAAATGTACGCGATGGGCTGCGCTGGTTCGAACGTATCGAGGAGGTCGAACGCTTTCTCAAACGTATCGTGTTTGATGTGAAAGAGGGCTAAATTGAGTTTAGCTTCGGGCACAGTGCCAAGAAGCGGCGGCCACAGGCGCAGGCCGACGTCCCCTTGTCGGAACACGACGACGTTGTGCTCCACGAGCGCATGTCCTCTCGTCTACGGTGACGAATGCGACGCGGAACTAGTAAGTACTACTAGTACTGTAGTATCCCCGAGCTACCAGGACTAGTCATACTAGGAAGGTAACCAACCGGTTGAGGGAGATGCAACTGAAGAGACTTTTCCGCGGCGACCCCATCCACCAAGTGAAACGTGTTGCACGCCAGCAAGTTCTTGGCAACGTTGCTGTGACCGTCCGAAGTGGCGAGGTACGTGGCCAGCAACTCGGACGAAATGTCAAAGTATTCCAAGTGGTAGTAGCACATGGCCAAGTACACGTTGATCGCTGCGTGTGTTTCATGGCGGGCGAGAACGCGCTTGTATATATCCGCCGCCTACCCATGATTGGATAGATTTGATTAGGTACAAATAGCACACGAGTACTCTAGTACTTATAGGCTTCATGATGATGGGTACTAGTATGTCTATCTTGCAGTGAATTTGGACTAACTTGTTAGAGTGGTAGGTAGGAGATATAGCCACGTACGCCGTGAAAGTTGCGCTGGTGAAACAACACGGCGGCGGCGGCGAGTTGGCTTGGGATGGACGATGTCCGGAGGTCGTACAACAACGAATCGACGACCTCCGAGTCGTTTGTTCGTTGGGCTAACACCAGCCGAAGACGCTGGTGCAGCTCGGCTGTGGCGGTGTCAGCTGGGGCGACGATTTTTGCCAATGCGGATTTGGCAAAGTCATAATACTAGTTACCGACAAAGGTTTTGACTACGGTCATGGAGAGGTAGGTGATTGGGTTTGTACACTGAGGTAGAGATAGCAGCACGCCATGTTGGCCAAGATGGGGTTCGATCGACTGGCGTCGGTGCTGTCATCTTCTGTGTCGAGTTTCTATCGCCACAGATGTTTGCATGAGAACTTGGAGAACGATCATGATGTTCCTGGACGAACCAACACTTGCTCGTAATGCTCAAGCGCTTGCACGTACTCGCCCATATGGAAGAGGCAATAAGCCGTCCACAGCGTGTTCAGACGCGATCCTTCGCCATGTTTGGCTTGGAAGCGCAGCAGCGTCATGGCGCCTTGGAAGTCCCGCCTGTCCAGGTACGTTTGCAGTTGCCATTTCCGCTTCTTCACGTCCGTCGCCTTTGTAGCCGCCGCTGCCTTGGCCTGCAAAGGAATAGTTCAGATGATGCAACGTAGGTGGGGTATCTACAGGAATCGCCTTGTTCGAGGTATTGTGCATGGAAGGGTCCTGCAGGCTTGTCGGCGGCGAACCGTCGCACAATCTTACTGTTTGTGCAGCATGCAAAGCAATCGATTTGTGACCACTTTCTGATGTTCCTTAAACTGGTGTTTTGAAACGCTTACGTAGTACGGTTATTAACCGGAAGGCCGTTGCATCACCCTGACCCTTGGACAGCGCGATCAACATGTCCGAGTGAGTGCAAGCGCTTCGTTCATGGAAATCCGGTATGTCATTATCCTGTTGTTGGCTGTGAGTAGAGCGTACGGCCAGCAAAAGCTGCGAGATGAGCAGGTGAAGGAGACGATCAATCAGAAGCTGATCGAGTCTGGCGAGAAAGAACGGTGCGGATGTGTGTACATCGTGACGTGGATGTTTATCTATGTGCATGTAGATTGAAAGAGATCTTGCGGCAAAAGCTTGTCGAGTGCGGGTGGCGTGATGAAATGCGCATGTACTGCAAGGGTACGTGCACTTGCGTTCGTGCCGACGATCACGGACGTGTGGAATGTAGAACTGATCAAGACAAAGGGAATCGACCAAATCACGGTCGACGATCTCGTGGACGAGATCACCCCGAAAGGGCGATGTACGCCTGCCTCTCTCTCTCTCTCTCTCTCTCTCATACGACCGTCATCTGACGTCCTTCGTAGCCTCCGTGCCGGACTCCATCAAGGCGGACATGTTAGAGCGCATTCGGTTGTTCTTGGAAGCGTCGTCTTGATCGTCGTCATATCCAATACCATCACACCATTTTCATATTACTTATCATGATTCGTGTTGCATGGGGGGGGGGTACCGACTGGAATATTCACGACGACGGCAAACCGGCTCAACAACGGCATGGTCACCACATCCAAAGTCGAAGGTGACGACGCAGCGTCATACATGGCAATGTTCACATGCACACAGCGCGGCGCCATCTCGACGGACGTTTCCAGCTTGATCTTGGCGTAGTTGCGGGACACGAGCACCGCCGCCGACGCGGCTTGGGTCATGTCTACCCAGTAAGTACCCTTGTCAGAAACGATATCATTCCATGGGCGTACAGTACCAATAAACTGGAGAATGTCCGCGCCGGTCGTGTCAATCAGGTTCGGGTCTTCGTACCCGCCGACCCGAATCGGCGCCGACGGCATCATCACATCCCCATGCCCATCTTGCGTTAATACAAGCACAATGTCTTCGTCCAGCGGATTCTCCACGAGCAGCCACGCGACGACGATGGCGGCATCCTTGGGCTCCCATACACGACGAATGGTGACGCTAGGAAGCATGTGGAGGGCCAGCGTAGCTTTCTTCCACCACGACGCGCCCACGACCATGGAACTGTCCCCTGTCATGGGGTTGATCTGCGGCTTGACCAAGATCCCAGGCGCGCCGCTCGCCATACTCTCGACGCATCTACATGGAGAACACACTCCATATTCAGCCACGTTTCATCATGCAAGACATGGCGGATGGACACACCGCCACGACCGCTTCACGCGCAAATCAGGACGTGATGGGAACAATGCTGAGACGTCCCGCGATTGAAGAAGCGGCGTGCATAGGTTTCGCTGCGCCAAGGTGGAAACCGCCGCCATGTCGTCGCACTGTGCCGCGCGGACAGCGTCGATGCCATGGAAGGATTCGTGGTGAGGGAACTTTTGGCGGCATTGCTCGACGAGGGCCGTGTCGACCGCAGACGATACCGTCGACAACGTGTCCTTGAGCTTGGCGTCTAAATTCTCCATCTTCCAGCCAAGTTGCATTGCAGGAGGAGGCCTCTGGGAATACTTGATGAACCTGGGTGGTCGGGTACTGGTTGGATGATTGTTCAGGGGAAATGGACGAGGTACCTCGACGAGGATGCAGAAGTGAACGAGCGCTTGGACATGAAGCTTCTCGTGTGTTGAATGGAGGTTTGCGCGGCGGCTCTCTGCTGGTAGTGCGCCAGGAGCACGTCAAACACATGCTCTTCCCGCTCCCTCGTGTTGGCGACCATCATCAACGTGTCCGGGTCTTCGTCGGTCAGCTGAATCGAATCCGAGTCCCAGCGGCAGTGCGCGCAGAAGAACGTGTACTTGTCGTGCTTGATCGTTTGCAACGTGCTCCTGCAGTCGGGGCACGCAAACGTCCGCGCCGATCGATTCTTGTACGCCGCCGCTTCCTTCGACGGCAGATTGTCCATCTGGAAGCGGCAGAAGTACGAGTCGATCTCTTGTAGCGAACAAGTTGGCCACGGACACACGATCTTCTTGCATGTGTCGCTCCAGTACAGCTCCGCCAACGGATACTGCCGCCCACAGCCGCAGACGTACTCGATCGACATGTTTTCCACACAATGTTGTGGATATAAACTCCATAAGCCAATCACACTGACTTGTGAGATGAATTATAGCCAATCATAGTGCAGGAAAGACGAAATGTGCCGCTCCTTCCTCCTGTTTCTACTGAGTATGGTGGACATGGGTCATGTTGTGCAGGAACAAGGGGCTGAAGCCTGGGGACATGGACATCGCTCCAGGAATGTCCGATGCTCTTCGAGTGAACCCCTGTAATCCCAATATGTGGACGTCACCTTCCTTCCATCGTCGTTTATGGTGTACAATCTACCGGTACATGTATGTAGATCCCCCTCTGGACAAAGATGGTCTCCTCTAAGCATGTAACAACGTCGTGTATGGACCGCACTAATGATGGCACAGTCAACCAGAAAGGGCTTTCCAGTCACATTTGGGCTGAAATGTCAAGATCTCCATCCGACACCGCCGTATATGTCCACGAGGTTGACCAAGGGACCGACCACAACTTCCAGACATAGTTCTCCAGGGACGAAGGCCATCACCTCCAAATCTAGCCCATGGACACCCAATGGCCTGCCGTATCAACTCTAGCCGCTCAGAATCCCTCGTGCATTCATTCGGCCACTCGGTCGTCCACTTGCAACCTGCGTCACAATACCTGCCCCACAACAATCCTTCTTCACACCACTTGGCCATCGTCAAATACCCGTCTTCTTCCTGTCGCTCTCGCAGCAATCCTGCAATGCCGTCGTTCGGGACGTCCGTTCAACTTCAACCTGCACCTGTCAGCCAACCTGTGATCCACAGGACGAGATCTCATCTCGCATCATCTCGCTCATCCACAGCATCTCGATATCATCCTGTTGTCTGTCAAAGTCCAGCACCCCTGCATCTTCACGGCGCTGTCCCTGCGGTATCTTGCGGGGTTGAACCTTGAACTCAAAAACGAGTGGTGGTATCACGACCGGTTTGCGAATGCAGATCTTGCGACGTATTGGGTTTGGCAGGTTTTTTCCGTAGCCGTCTTTGCGCAGTTGCACCGCGATTGTCAGAAGTATGCATTTGTGGAGGGGATTCGGCGCCTCACGCGATTTGATTGGCGGGATTAGCGTCATCGTGTTCATTGATTGGCTCGTTTGAGGGTGGTGGGGAACTGGGGCGGGGCTTTTTTTGACTGGTGCAGCGCCGCCAACGGATACTGAGGTCTGGTCATTCCCGTTTTTTGGTTTGCTTTCTTCTTCCCCGAAGATTGGTCTACCTTACTTTTCCTTCATAAAAAAACAGAAAAATCATCCCTTCCAACATGAGCTCTTCCGCCGCCGCCACCTCTGCTGCTCCGTCGAGCCCCGTTGCCAACGCCGCCCCTGCTACCAACAACTCGGCGGCTGCGCAACCTTTCCACACCGCGTCCCTTTATGTCGGGGACATCCACCCAGAAGTGACAGAGGTACAGAGACGAGACGAGACAGGGAGAAAGAACCGATAGACTGACACCATGTGATGCACGTAGGCGTTGTTGTTTGAAATTTTCAACGCTGTGGGGCCTGTCGCGTCGATCCGTGTGTGCCGTGATGCGGTCACCCGTCGTTCGTTGGGTTACGCGTACGTGAACTTCCACAACGTGAGCGACGCCGAGCGTGCGTTGGACACGATGAACTACACGAGCATCAAGAGCGTGCCGTGCCGCATCATGTGGTCCCAACGTGACCCGACCTTGCGCAAGTCGGGCGTGGGCAACATCTTTGTCAAGAACCTCGACACGTCGATCGACAACAAGGCGTTGTACGACACGTTTTCTCTGTTCGGCAACATCTTGTCGTGCAAGGTCGCGTACGACTTGAACGGAAACTCCAAGGGCTACGGGTACGTCCACTACGAGACGGCCGAAGCCGCGTACCTTGCCATCGAAAAGATCAACGGCATGTTGATTGCCGGCACCGAAGTGTTCGTCGGCCATTTCCAAAAGCGCGAAAACCGCCCCGCCGATTCGGACTGGACCAACTGCTACATCAAGAACATTCCCCACAACTGGGACGACGCCAAGTTGCGCTCGGAATTCGAACCGTTTGGAGTGATCTCGTCGTGCGTGGTGATGAAGGACACGACCTCGGAAAACAACCGCGGATTCGGCTTCGTCAACTTCGAAGAACCCGAAGCTGCCCGCGAGGCCACGGACAAGCTGAACGGCAAGGTGGTGGCGACGGACGACAATGGCGCCGACATCGAACTGTACGTTGGTAAAGCACAGAAGCGTAGCGAACGCGAACGCGAATTGCGCCACAAGTTTGAAGCGTTGAAGATGGAACGTATCAACAAGTACCAAGGCGTCAACTTGTACGTGAAGAACTTGGACGACCAGCTCACCGACGAAGAATTGCGCGAAGCGTTCACGGCCGTGGGCACGATCACGAGCGCGCGCATCATGCGTGACCCAGCCGGCGCGTCGCGCGGCTTTGGCTTTGTGTGCTTTGCCACCCCGGAAGAAGCCACCAAGGCCGTGACTGACTTGAGCGGCAAGCTGCTCAACGGCAAGCCCATTTACGTGGCGTTGGCCCAACGCAAAGAAGTGCGCCGCGCACAATTGGAAGCCCAACACGCGCAACAACGCATGGTCGCCGGCCGCGGCTTGCCTTTGCAACACCAGCCTCCCATGTACGGCGCCGCGCCCATGTTTTACGCGCAGCCCAACCAATTGCCGCCCCAAGCGCGCCAAGGATTCGTGTACCCGCAGCAGATGATCCCCCGTGGCGGCATTCCTCGCGGCCCCATTCCTTACCGCCAACCCGGTGTGCCCGGTGGTCCCGGTGGCTACGGCATGCCCCAGTACGGCGTGCCCTTGCAAGGTCAACAGCGTCAGCCTCGTGGTCGCCGGCCGCAAGGCCCCCCTGGCCAATTGGCCGGACCTCCTCAAGGCCAACCTGGCAACCCCAACGGCCCCCGCCAAAACAACCGCAACAACTTCAAGTACACGGCGAACGCCCGCAACCAACCTTCGTTGCAGGAACAGGCGCCCCAGCCTGCGGCCCCTGCGGTCGCTGCCGGTGTGCCCACGTTGGAACCGTTGACGTCGGCGGCGTTGGCGGCGGCGTCCCCCAGCATCCAAAAGAACATGATTGGCGAACGCTTGTTCCCGTTGATCCACCGCTCGCAACCGGAATTGGCGGGCAAGATCACGGGCATGTTGCTCGAAATGGACAATGGGGAATTGTTGCATTTGCTGGAGTCCCCGGACGCGTTGGACGCGAAGATCGCGGAGGCGTTGGCGGTGTTGGAAGCCCACGAAACGGAAGAATAAGGAACAAGCAAACCAAACAAGGGAATACAGAGAGCAAGAGAAGTTGGACTTATTTTGAAGTAAATGAAGTCGTGGTTTTGCTCTCTCTATACTGTCTGTATTCCCTTGGCACGGTTTTGGTTTGGTCGCGTTTTTTATCATCTTTATATATATTTACAGTACCATTTCCCCAAACTCTCCAAGTGTTGGTTGTGTGTTGGCATTTCGCAGTAATTTGTTGACCCCGTCGAAGTAGTAGTACATACTACGTAGTACTAATACAGTAGTACTTCGGGGCAGTTTGGAGATCCCCGGACATTTGAACAAAGTGAAACTGACCTCCTGCTCGCTCCTTCAACTCCGTCGACTTGGAAGTACTATTTGTTGAGCCCGTCGATGTAGTGCACACTAATAGTACTTCTGGACAGTTTGGAGATCCCCGGACATTTGAGCTCAGTGAAACTGACCTCCTGCTCCTTCAACTCCGTCGACTTAAAAGTACTATTTGTTGAGCCCGTCGAAGTAGTACCGTCGAAGTAGTAGTACATACTAATAGTACTTCGGGGCCATTTGAGCAAAGTGAAACTGACCTCCTGCTCGCTCCTTCAACTCCGTCGACTTGGAAGTACTGTTTGTTGAGCCAGTCGATGTAGTAGATACATACTTCCGGCCAGTTTGGAGATCCCCGGACATTTGAGCTCAGTGAAACTGACCTCCTGCTCCTTCAACTCCGTCGACTTAAAAGTACTATTTGTTGAGCCCGTCGAAGTAGTACCGTCGAAGTAGTAGTACATACTAATAGTACTTCGGGGCCATTTGAGCAAAGTGAAACTGACCTCCTGCTCGCTCCTTCAACTCCGTCGACTTGGAAGTACTGTTTGTTGAGCCAGTCGATGTAGTAGATACATACTTCCGGCCAGTTTGGAGATCCCCGGACATTTGAGCTCAGTGAAACTGACCTCCTACTCCTTCAACTCCGTCGACTTGGAAGTACTGCATAGGCGGCGAAACGTTCGCAATTGAAACTTGGTCTTCCCTCATCCACACTAAACGCAAGGAGGGCGCCTACAATATCATTGAAAT